CAAATTTTATATGAAATCGAATATATTAGAAAATATATATATAAATTGGAGTTCGGTTATTATTATTTAAATTATTAAATTTATGCCTACGCCTCTTGAATTTGACACACTTTTTAAACTTTTTCGGGAGCTAGCAGTAATATTAATGACTGGAACTGCCAATATGTTGTGTATAACAAATTTAAAAGTGTTCCAAAAAGTGTCTTGAATGACCGAGTTCTGCTCATCTGAACTTGAGATAAAAAATAAAATTGGTCTTAAAACAGGCTCTGAACTCAACAAAATTAACACCATACAAAAAGTGTTAAGCGCTCTTAGCATTTTGACCAATTTATTGTGTAAACTAGTGATAGACAAGAACTTCCAAGCACTTTACTACAACTAACTTATTGTTAACCCTTGACATTTGACCAACATCCTCAATGTCAGCCGGTTGCCCCGACGATTGTAAAATTTCAATACCAAATCGGTATTTTTTCCCTGCGATCCGCTGCCATTAGCCGGTTGAAAGAAACGCGATTCCCTGCTGGAATTTTCGATTTCCATTGGAACCGAACCAAAACAACTTTCAATGCAAATGCAACTTCGTGGGTGAAGGAAAAGGCGGCTAGTCAAGTGGTGACATATCGCTCGGCTCACCTGACTGCCTGACTACCTGACTGCCTGATGGAAAAATGCGGTTAATGTGGTTAATGCCAATTGCCGTTGCCGTCCTAAGGTTCAGCACATGCACTTGTACAATTTCCTAATTAAGTCAAATGCACTGCCATGTTTTGTTATTGTTCGTACGGTCTTGTCTGCTCACATGTGAAAGATACTTATGTTCAACCTGCAGTTTACTCCATTCGAGCGCTGGTAAGAGGTGCAACCTTCAAACTTATGGCAAAAAAGATTGGAAAATATTAAGCAGATTAAACTTTAGTTAGCATTTTGTAAGCCAAATAAATACATTTAATTTTAGCCCGCACTAGCAATATTTTCCTTTTTTGGGCATTTTTATTCACTAATAAAATCTTAAATCAGCCACAATTCCTTTTCAAAAATACTAACGATTTTATTATTTACCAATAATCTGATTAAATTCACATTTGTTTTGATTTTAAGCATATATCCACACAGAGTTTTGAATGTTAGTATGGTATTTAAGGAAAAATTAAAAAAAAGTTTAGAAGAAATCCTCAATTGTGCATTTGTTATTAAAATATAAATTTTATTTTAATGATATAGTTAATATTAAAACAATTTAAAACACCATTTGTATACAACGGCTTTTATTAAAAAACTAAGATATTCATTTAGGAGAGGATTTTTCTTAATATACATATTATATGTATTTATAGATCTTGAAATCATGGTATAGAAACATATCCAACAATGGAATATTTATAAATATTATATAACAAATTGCATATTTTTGATATTTATTTTTTATTTAAATACAAAGTTAAATTAAATTTTCCGGTATTTGAACCCAGATTGCAGAAAAACATATAACCATTAGTGCAACCATGAGTTCAATAAATTCACATGAGATATACTAGTGTTAAGCCCACAGTCAAAACGCAAATATCTGTAAGATAATGCTAATATCCACAAGTTATGGCCAAAATGTTGTTCAATACCCCAGCTGTCGAATTCCGTTGCATAAGAGTGAATTGAATTTCTTGCATTTCCCCATCGCGTTTCCCACTGAAGGAAGTGGTCGCTTAATAGATTTTACTTTTTGACAGTTAACGCAAAATGTAAATTAATTTGCGATTCTCGGGCGGCGACACGAAGGCAGGTAATCCATATCCATATATCCAAGCACTGAGTGATTATGATTCGAGTGGTGCGAGTGCTCGAGTGTTTGAGTGTTCGAGGAAAATGCCTGCCACTTCAAGGAAAACGAAATACCCCGGACCGTGGTTAAAGCCACTACCATTACCATTACCATTACCAATGCATTCGAGCCAACTGCGGCTGCCAATGTGGCAGTTTGTTTTGGTCCGAGGCTGGCCAAAGTTGATGGACTCGTTTGGTGCGCCTACGGCAGCACAAAAAGTGAATGCCGAGGGGGCAGAGGTAGGGGGGCAAATCGACGCTTTAACAATTTGGTTAAAGTTTAATAAACTTTATGAAATGTTGTCTTGAGTGGGAAATGCAGTCGGTCCGCGTGGAGTCGTCGACTCCAATGACAATGGTGCAAAAAGGGGGCGCAGGGGCGGCGTCTGGCTGTCAAGTGAGTTTTCGGGGCGATAATGTCCAAGGCAAAGCAAAAAAAAATGGAAAAAGGAAATCCTAGGAAAGCCATGGGACATCAGGAAGCAGCCTGGCCACGTTAGAAAGTCACCATTATTCGGGAGTTTCGAATTTACCTATACCTTTATTTTAGGTTTCCAATTCTTCGTTTTCGTCTTGTCTTTGTGCAAATTTTGGTGGCTTCTTCAGGATATTACGCAAGCGGAAAATGTGCACTAGGTTTTCCTTTTTGGGTGATATTTTTATTGATTTTTTAGTGTAGGTGCAATGGAATTTTAAGTCACATTATGCATTAGTTCATTTTGAAAAGTTGTGCTTAAATATGCCCAATACACAAATAAATGACATCACACAAAGATTTTTTTTTATTTCGAGCTAAAATAATATAAATTAAACTTAATGAGTATTTATTAGAATGAAGAACCTAACATATTGCGATGAATTAATCATTTTATGGACTGACAGTGTAATAAATATAATGCTACCATTAGTTATCATAATTTTTTTTTAAATATAATTGGTTTTGATTGCTTTAGTCCAAATAACATTAAACAGGTTAGATTTTTTCATTACAAATTCTTGTCAAAAACTAGTACACTTTGTAAATTACCAAGGAGTAACCAAATCGTATTGAATCCATGTGAGCGATATTATTAATGGTTCTCTTAATTAAAAACGATCCACACCTCGAATGGTCGTCTCTAGGCAAAAAGGAGAAAAAATCCCCATCTTGATTTCTCATAATTGCCATTGCCTTTCAGACAAACTGAATATTACCATCAATATTTTTTATAGATTGTCAAATCGAATCGGTGTTTGGTGGGCGGGGGGCGGGGCCACAGCGCCGCGAAAAGGAGGAGAAAGTGAGCCAAATGGCATGGAGCTCGAATGGATCGCTCCGAGGGTTATCATTATGTACTCATATGCAAAGGCAGCTCTGCAGAGTCCAGTAATTACAGTAGTACACATGTGTATATGCTGATGAATTGTGGAGGCCTGGCATCCGATAGATACAATTTTGATTAATCGGGGCGAAAAGAGAGCAAAGAAATTAGAACGCCAGTGGAATTCGACGGGGTCTCGAGCGGAGTGTCCAGGTAATTGCGGGTTGTACGTGGACTCCCCGCCAAAGAGAAACTGCAGAGCGTTTGTAACGAACTGATAAGCGCATAATTAACATGGCTTAAACTAAAAGGGGGGGTGGCAAAGAGGGGGCGGTGCGGTTTGGGCCATGGCATCCACATCCACAGCCACATCCACCTGGCCAACTCGAAAACTCCCATGTGCAGCAAAAATATTTCTACCCCGCCACATCGACAGCAAAGTATTTTTAAGGCGTGTTGTTTGCCGTTTTCAATAGATTTTTGTCTTTAATGACTTTTGGCCGGGCTCCGACTCGTAGCTCTTGGCCTGGCTTAATGGCTCCGATCGTTTGGCTTTTGTTCTGCACAGAATTGCCTTTGTGGCTTTCGCGATTGGGGTTTGCTTTTGGTTTAGCAAATGGGTTCCCAATAGGTTTTCTATCTGCAGGTGTCGGCATCGCTTTTGACGGGGTATACCGCTAGTCTTTGGGCCCCATAATGAGCCCGGTCAACTGTCCGGGAGATCGAACAGGTGCCTGATAGACCGTCCGGTGGTTATTCTAGCCAAAATGGGTCGCACATGCTGGGCGCAGATTTTGACATCGATCCACGATTGGCTGGTTATTAGCCTGCTAAAGAGTTAATTATGATGTGAAGCCAGCGAGGAGTTTTAGCGGAAGAGAGCTATTACTCATTAGGCATAGAGGAAAACTGGTAAAAGTATTTATTTTTTACACTTCCAGAAAAGCCTTTGAAACTAACAACTAACTAACCTAAAGGAATTTATTTTATATTCATTTTTCCTTGGCAAATTGTATTGTAAAATTATATTATAACTAAGAAAAATTATAGAATCAAAAAATAATACAAAATAACACTTATTTGTTGATTAAATTTAGTTGTATTGTATTTAACTTTTGTTTACCACAAGTAAATTACATATATTACACACCTTAAATAACATTTTCAGTATTGACTTAAAACTTTTGATGGTTTTTCGAAGATAAATACAACTTGATTTCTAAAGTTTGTTAGTATTCTTCAGTAGCTAAGTAGCAGACAATTTATATTGGTTTATAGTAAAATCGTTAAAGGAATATGTCCCAAAATGGAGACACTTCTCAGCCAGGCATTTCATTCATGAGAGCTTTAAGCGATCAGAAAACCCCATTAAAGTCAAATCCACTTGCTAATAATTTTGTTTTGGCTTGGAACGCTGAAACGTTTTAGACCTATTGAACAAACAGGGTTTCGAACAATGCAAAACAAAGGCTGAAATACCGGGGAACTCATTAAATAAAATGAGAACAAGCCGTTTGCCAGACTGAGATGGTGGAGAAACAAAAAACAATCAGCAGTCGCAACAGCAACAACCAGAATAAACCACAAGAAGTTGGTGCAAAATAAAGTCCAACAAAACAAAAAAAAAATAATAACAGCGACTACAACATCAACAGCGAAAAATACCCAAAGATGAAAAGTTCAATGCACGCAAATCGGATTAAGCAAAGAAATTAAGTAATACTTGTACTTGTGGAAATCCATTGGACTGAATGTACACCCAGAAAAATGGGAAATAGAAAGGGGTTTCGAGTATTGAACGGAAGTGGTCCGCCCAGAAATATTAAACGGATTTCCGAACTCAATAGTTGTCAGGCATAAAAGTACATATATTACCTTTAGTTCGGCAGTAATCAGTGCTTGTAGATCAAATCCAAATGAGTAAATCCAAAAATGAATCAGAGGAGGTTTTTAAATTCCCACACTTATGTTTTCAGCCAAAAAACACGAACAATTAGCACTCCGAATGTCGTATTTTTGGAGTCGTTAAGTGCGCAGACGTTGCGAGTTTAAATTGCACCAAACCGGGTCTCAGAATCACGCGGAATCGGGAAAAGCGAACCGAACGCATCGAAGCTTAAAACTCAACTGACCCAAAGATGGGGTCTGTGGCTCTCGATTCCAATTCCACCAAGCGCCACGCGCTCAAAAGCTGCCCCATTAAAGCTTTCCAATGGAACTACGTCTTTCTGAGCTTTCTTGGCCATATTAATACCGCCAAAAAGTCTACTTTGACTTTAAATAGATTCTACCACCCAAGCTTATATATTAAACACCGTAACACCATCTTAATTATAATAATTGTTTTTCCTTTTACATTTTAGTTTACCTGAAATTTCAAGAACAGGTTAAAAAGCATGTATGTTAAATTATTTATTTTTTTAGTTATCTTGAAAAATTAAATATTTATTTTTAATAAAAAAAAATAAAGCTTTGTTAGTTTAACTTTTAATTTCCCATTTCACCTGAGTTAGTTTAAAATGCAAACAGTCAATGCTATTCCTGAATACAGGTGTCCTCTTTACTGCATTGAAAACTTCTAAATGAAATTGTAATACACTCTATAAGGTTATGCAAGTATAACGTATCCGCCACGTTGAATACATGCGTAAATGTACAACTTTAGTTGTTTGACTTTATTATATGTCCTTGGTTAAAGCCATTTGCAAATAGTTAGTTAGAGAGACTTACCTTTTTTCGAAGACAAAGTACTATCACTAACTTGTTGTATTTTGTAAAGGTTTAAACTGAGGGACAACAAAATGTAGGAGTATATGTATATGGGGGTCAATCCGTGACGAACTAGTTTCTGACTATTCTTTGGAATACATGAAATAAGTTTGAAAAACAATGTAGAATTAATATAGGCAGTTCAAATTTATTTCGTTTTTATTTTTATTTATTTATCTGAAATGAATTCTGTTATATGGCTACAATCATTGTTTATTTAACCTAGTTTCAAATAATGGTGAGCCGCAACTTAACGCACAAAAATAAACTGTTTGCTTGGACAAACAATTGAAAAACATCTTCCTAAAATTTGGCTATATATACTCTGCTTTCGCTTGGAATAAAGCACATCTGTCACCACAGTCCAAGACAACACCCAAGATGAGATCCCAGCTTGCTATCTTCCTTGCCTTCGTGGCCCTCGTTTCGACTGCCTTGCAAGCCACTGGTCAAGCCACGCCCCCTGCTCCGGCCACGCCCCCTGCTCCGGCCACGCCTTCTGCTCCAGCCACGCCGTCCGCTCCTGCCTCTCCAACTACTCCAACTTCTCCAACTACTCCAACTTCACCAACCACTCCAACTTCTCCGACCACGCCCACCACCCCTTCGGACTCAACAACGCCCACTTCTCCCACCGGAAACAGCACAGACTCCACCACTGCAGCTCCCACCACCGTGTCTCCTAACAAGAAGGTGAAAGTTGTTACCCATTACAAGAATAAGATCACCAGACCGAAAAAGATCACCACCATCCGCCACAGGAACGGAAACCGCACACGCCGTAATTAAGGAAAATACCTGATTCAGACAGACCTAGAAGATTCCGTTAAACAACCCTAACGCATTTTGTAAACCCCACTACTATTTAAGTTTTGTCTTAAGTTTTATTATGTTTGCAATAATAAATGATCATTTTATTGAAAATAATTCAGATGTTTTTTATCGAGAACTTTAAAACAAGGCGGAAATATAAATATAACTAACGTTAGATCCAAGAAATATTTTTATCTGAGGCAAGTGATATTTATAGTACTTTACAACATAGTGTTATATGTACTATATGTTCCACACTTGCATGGAAATTTTTGGGATCCTTCTCGAACTCGTCTATACGGTGCGTGTTAAGTATTTAAGGTATACAAAAAGAAATTTATGGTCGATTATGCGAACTGGTCTTCAAGTTTACAGCTTATACGCACTGTTGCCTTTAAACAAATATATTATTTTTATATAGTTGGCCCAGACTTAGATTATTTTCTTAAATTCGTTGGTCACTTTTCCAAGCTACTTTAGTTTTTCAAACCAAAACATTTTGGTATTTTCGCCAGAGTTCAAAGAGTTAACAAAGTTGGTGCGGAAAACGATTTTTTTTTATAAAAGTTCTGGCTGTCATACAGGTCGAATGATTAAATTTTAAGGAAACTTGGAAGACGATTTTTAAGTTCTAAATCTCAATAAAAACTTAAGTTATTCAATGCTCATTTGCATACTTTAATCTACTATATTAAAGGGTGAGGACAAGATTAAGATTTAGGACAAGATTTCATTTTTTCAACCGCCCTAAAGTACTTATATTGATTTAGTACTTTGTTGACGGTTCAATTAGCAAAGTCTTTAGCCGAGATAAGAGCATAGAGATTTAGATCGCAGGAACATTTCTGTCAATCCTTACAGATTTTGCACTAGCTGGAAGGCAATTGCACCTCTACTCTCAAGTGCTTTGGAATGATCTTAGAGAAATGTAATGTAAGAAAGTGCCAAATCTTTCTAACAGAGATATAAGTATCACTTGCCTCATATAAAATAATTTATCGATGCCTAAAGAGATTTGAATTTCCCATTCTACCTTGTTTGAATTCCTTGTAAACAATTTCTCTCAATTCTTTTTAATAAAGTGATCATATAATATTGCAAGCATAATAAAACTTAAAATAAAACTAAAATAACAGTAGGGTTTACAAAATGCGTGTGAGTCGTTTAACGAAATCTTTTGGGTTTGTCGAAATCAGGTGTTTTTCCTAATTCCGGCGAGGTCGGTTTCGGCGCGATCGGTTACGGTTCTGACGGGATTGGTTTCGGTCCCGCTGAGATCGGTTCTCACTGCCACCAAACTTGTGGTGGATCTTGGTGATCCTTTTCGGTCTGGTGATTTTCCTCTTGTGATGGGTAACAACTTTCACCTTCCTGTTAGGAGACACGGTGGTGGGAGCTGCGGTGGAGGAGTCTGTGCTGGTTCCGGTTGCCGGGGTGGGGGAAGTGGGCGTGGTGGGTGACGCTGGAGTGGTTGGAGAAGTTGGAGTAGTTGGAGTGGTCGACGAGGCAGGAGCGGTCGGCGTGGCCGGAGCAGGGGGCGTTGCCTGACCAGTGACTGGCAAGGCAATCGAAACGAGGGCCACGAAGCCAAGGAAGAAAGCTAGCTGGGATCGCATCTTGGGTGATATTTTCGACTGCGGTGACAGATGTGCTTTCTTCTAAGCGAAACCAGAGCTTTTATAGGCACATTTTAGGAAGATGATTTAAACATGCTTCTGTCAAGCAAACAATATTATAAGTCGGTGTTTGCTTTTTCGCAATTCAACTTTATCCAGGTCGTTTAAACAAAAATCAATAATAAATAAAAAAATCAATACAAAAGGCAGAGAGGATTTTTGGGTCATTCTGCGGGAATTTGAATACAACCGTATTTCACAGGTGAAAATATTTTTGAAGGAATAGTTAATATTAGAGTTGATACCTTGAAAGGATGTAGAATGTCTGGCATCAATTTTAAGTCACAAAACGATATTTTTTTTCTAGGCAATTCTATTGAAAAAAAAAAACAAAATAATTTTTATACCCGTTACTCGTAGAGTAAAAGGGTATACTAGATTCGTCGGAAAGTATGTAACAGGCAGAAGGAAGCGTTTCCGACCCCATAAAGTATATATATTCTTGATCAGGATCACTAGCCGAGTCGATCTAGCCATGTCCGTCTGTCCGTCTGTCTGTCCGGATGAACGCCGAGATCTCGGAAACTATGGGAGCTAGGCTATTGAGATTTGGCGTGCAGATTCCTGAGTTTCTTACGCTTCGCAAGTTTGTTTCAGTAGAGTGCCACGCCCACTCTAACGCCCACAAACCGCCCAAAACTGTGGCTCCTACAGTTTTGATGCTAGAATAAAAATTTTAACTGAAATGTAATGTTCTCATCAATACCTATCGATTGACCCAAAAATTGCCACGCCCACCTTAACGCCCATAAACCGCCCACAAACTTCAAAAAATCGTAAATATGAACGTGGATATCTCGGAAACTATCAAAGATAGAGAATTGGGATTTCAGATTTAGATTCCGTAGCCTTATACGCAGCGCAAGTTTGTTACTCGAATATGCCACGCCCACTCTAACGCCCACAAACCGCGAAAACCTGTGACGCCCACAATTTGTATGCTAGATAAAAAATTTTAGCTGAAATGTACAAAACCTATCGATTGGTCCAAAACGCCACTCTAACGCCCATAACGCTTAAATCTGTATACCGCCGGTAGGTGGCGCATTTTAATCTCGCTTTGCTACTTGCATATCTCTATTTAGCTGAGTAACGGGTATCTGATAGTCGAGGTACTCGACTATAGCGTTCTTCCTTGTTTTAAATAATTTTTATCCAAGTTCGAACTGTAAGGAAACAGATTATTGTATGTCATAACTTTTTATTTATTCTTCGTATATCTACATAGTGAAATACTATACGAATTGGCTCTCAATGGAATGTAAATTTTAAACGGACAGGAGAGCCTCATAAGTTAGGTTTTTGAATAGTATTTAACCGAACCTTAAACCAATTGTACCGTGTAAACGAAATCTAAAGGAAATCAAAACGAAAATTACACACAAATTGTAGAAATCGAAAAATTGGTCATGACCAGATCGTATAAACATTTTCTGTTGTACATAGTTTGTATTTTATTCAAGTGTTTTGCTCTGCTCTATTGAGTGGTGTAAAATAATTTGAGTGGTTTCGGATTAAATCTACAAAAGAATTTCAAATGCATTAGAAATAAAGTGCATTCCTGATACAAACACAAATCGGAGTGTATAAATATAAAATCAAATCACGACATGCTTGGCGTACACATATTAAACAATATTAATATCAGTTAGACTCAGAGACGTTCTATGAGCTAAGTACAATGTTGTAGTTAGGCGAGTAATTTAGTTAAGATTTTCTCACTTTTCTCGAGTTTCCTCTTGCGTGTTTAATATTAAGTTTTGTGTTTTTCAACTTGTACAATTACGAAACATTATTTTGGTTTTGCAATTACAATTAATAATTGAATGGCGATCTCTGGCCCATCTCTACACTCCACCCATGTCGTCCACGGCAAGGGCACATAGCACGTACATCATTCCGGCGCTGAGGAGAGCCGTAACCGGCACCGTCACAATCCAGGCGTAGGCAATGTTCCGGAAGAGATGCCAATCGACACTGCCGTCCATCGTGGGCGCGACATTGCTGGGGGCATCCTTGTCGACTCCTGCCTGATGTTCCTGATCCCTTGGCAGACTCTTCTTGCGACCCGCCGCACTCACATGACCCACGAAAACCACCGAACCGACCTTGCAATGAGTGGTCGAAATGGGCAAGCCAATTTTGCTGGCCAGCAGTACGGTGATGGCAGCTCCGACTTCAATGGTAAAGCCACTGAAAAAGAAACAGAAAATAAAGTTAAATTGCTTAGTTATACTTATATATATATTCTTTTAATATTAGAACTCACGTCGATGAAGTGATTTTGGTGAGGTCATTGCCAATGGTCTCGATGACGCGTCGTCCCCACAACCAGAGACCCACGGATATACCAATGCCGCCGTAGATGAGAATGTAGATGGGGCTTTCCGCCCGCTGCATAACCGATCCCTCGCGATAGATCATATAGAGTGCAATCAGTGGGCCGATGGCGTTGCTCACATCATTGCCGCCGTGTGCGAAACTGCCGAAGGTGGCTGTCAGGATCTGCAGGAACGAGAAGAGCATTGAAATCTCCTGGGTCTCCTCCGGGCCGCTGGTTCTTCGTCCTCCGGCCGCTGCCCGCTTCAGTTCCTCCTCCTGCTCATTTAGAGCCTCCTTGCTCTCGATCAGAGGAACCTTGCTGGAGTTGGGCGACAGTGTGGAACTGATCATCAGATCAAGGCTGCCGGCGCTCTCCACCACTTGGAGGTTGTTGTTGATGGCCTTGGTAGCGCCGGTGTCCAAGTCCGTTCCGATGGGGTTCGCCTTGTGCTGTAAATGGAAAGAAAATGATGGTTGCAGTATATACATCTGAAGCGGTCCACATCTACATCACTATGTGTGATCTTTTCACAGTTCCATGACTGTACCTTTTGTTCCTCCTTGGGCGACTGCATCCGCTTGAAGCACTCCTGCAACTTGCGTCCATTTTGCTGCTGCTGCTGTTGCTGCTGCTGCTGCTCGTCGATGAAATTCAGGCTGGTGATCGTCAGATCGGTGTTGTCCAGGCTGGCCTTCCCCAGCAGGTCCTCGGCCTTCTTGATCAACTGCGGATCGATCTTGTACTCCTCGCCGGGCGCGTTGTTGTTCTTGGCCGCCAGTCCGAAGGGAGCCAGCTTGAAGGTCCTGGGCGAATTGTCGCTCAACGAGACCAGCTCGGTAATTTCCGCGATGGCGGGCAGTGGTTTTCCTTCGCTGACCAGCGACAACGGGCGGCGCTGCTTCTTGGGACTGCCCGACGGCGAGGATTCTGAAAGGACATTATGAATTATTTATTTTTATAAGCAATACTATGGTTTTAAAAAAACAAGCTCATAGATTTCTTCTGTTCAAAAGTCGAACGAGGCCTAAATTGTTCTAGCTAAATATTTACATTGATTGAATATCATAAGGCAAAGAAAAGGTGGCTCGATATTTGTATAAACGGCCTAGTTCTTAATAATTTTTGATGGCACATGGTAAATAGCGACTTTACGCACATAAATAAACAGTTTGCTTGGGTAAATATTTTAAACACATCTTCCTACAATTTGGCTATATATACTCTGCTTTCGCTTGGAATAAAGCACATCTGCCACCACAGTCGAAAACATCACCCAAGATGCGATCCCAGCTAGCTTTCTTCCTTGGCTTCGTGACCCTCGTTTCGATTGCCTTGCAAGCCACTGGTCAAGCCACGCCCCCTGCTCCGGCCACGCCCCCTGCTCCGGCCACGCCGTCCGCTCCTGCCTCTCCAACTACTCCAACTTCTCCAACTACTCCAACTTCACCAACCACTCCCACTTCTCCGGCCACGCCCACCACCCCTTCGGACTCAACAACGCCCACTTCTCCCACCGGAAACAGCACAGACTCCACCACCGCAGCTCCCACCACAGTGTCTCCTAACAAGAAGGTGAAAGTTGTTACCCATTACAAGAATAAGATCACCAGACCGAAAAAGATCACCACCATCCGCCACAGGAACGGGAACCGCACGCGCCTTAATTAAGGAAAATGCCTGATTTCGGCAGACCTAGAAGATTTTGTTAAACGACCCTAACGCACTATGTGAACCCTACCTGTTATTTTAGTTTTGTTTTAAGATTTATTATGCTTGCAATATTAAATGATCATTTCATTGAAAATACTCCAATAATTTAATTGGTTTTAAATTCGAAACTTGGTAAAATGGAAACATAACATACGAGTAAAACAGCACCCACATTTTCGAAAACTAAAATTTAAATAAAATTTATTTTATTTCGCTTGGGAATAGCCATCGACAAATTGTTAAGATTTTTAAGACCGTGTCTATAAAAAAACTATCTAGGTATATCTATCAGGAATGTCACAGGCAGTAGATAAAAGTGTAAAGTGTAAAATGTAAAAACCTGATGCAGGTAAACATTTACATATTGATATTTCTCGCCTCTACTCGAGGGTATTTTATACATGTTACTCGTAGAGGTATGCTATATTCGTCAGAAAGTATGTAACAGGTGAAAGGGAGCGTTTCCGACTTTAAAAAGTATATATATTCTTGATCAGGATCACTAGCCGAGTCGATCTAGCCATGCCCGTCGGTCCGTCTTTCTGCCTGTCTGTCCGTCCGTATGAACGCTGAGATCTCGGAAACTACAAAGCTAGAGACGCCCACTCTAACGTCCACAAACGAATGAGTGTTTGTTTTTATTATTAATACCTGTCTACACGCCAAATATTATTAAAATCGGACAACTCATTAAAAAAGTTATAACTAAATAATAATCAATATTTTGAAATTGCTGTTTTCACTAATACGCCGCCAAGGCGATAGGGGCGCTATAGACTTGGCGCGGTATACCAAGTGGCGCTATAGAAGACGAAGATAGATGGAGCTGTAGGCTAGATGTGTTAGTGAAAAAAGCAAAGTTACTTTAAGCATGTCTCCTCAGTGCCTCAACGGACAACCAAAAAATATTTCAGTCTATGGTTTTTGATGATCAAAACCAAATCTCATTTACAAATTTTGGAAAAAAAAACTTTTGAAAATGTTAGGTCGACATTAACGTTGTGGGAAACAAACAAACTTGCCCTAAATCAGAAGCTTAGGAATCTGAATCTTATATCACAGACCACAGCTCTCACAGGAAGTTTCACCTACAAATTTTGGTTTTCAAATAAAAAAGGATTTTTTCTAAAAAACAATTTTGGTGATTATAGATTAAAGCTTTATGCATTTTGACTCTGATTAAACTTATTCGCCAGGAACCTTCGTTTTAACGGAACTCACACAACGATATATAAATTTAAGGGTCGAATTTATACCCATTTAATATATTGTAATTATTATATAAATGTATATAATATACATTTAAGACTTTGGTTGTTAGCCAAATCTTTTAGGATTTACATTCTGGGATCTCCTTTGATTCCGGCGGGATGGCTTTCTGTTACCTCTGCCCCTTCTTCCACGTTTGCGGACTATCTTGTGTTTCTTGGCTGGTCTCTTTGTTTTATTCTTATGGCGGCTGGTATTCTTGTGCTTCTTTCTCGAGGCTTCGGTGGCGGCGGCTGCGGCGGTGGGTGCAGTGGTGGGTGCTGTGGTGTTGCTTTGGGTTGCCGAGGTGCTCGGAGAAGTGGCAGTGGTGGGGGTGGTGTCGGACGTTGGGGTGGTGGGCGATGTTCAAGACGACGGGGAAGTGGGCGTGGTCGGAGAAGCTGGTGAGGTTGGAGAAGTTGGAGAGGTTGGAGAAGTTGGAGAGGTTGGAGAAGTTGGAGAGGTTGGTGAAGTTGGAGAGGTTGGAGAAGTTGGAGAGGTTGGAGAGGTCGGCGAGGCAGGAGAGGAAGGCGTGGCAGCAGGCGGCGTGCCTTGACCAGTGGCTGGCAAGGCAATCGAAACGAGGGCCACGAAGCCAAGGAAAAAAGCTAGCTTGGACCGCATCTCGGATGATATCTTCGACTGCGGTGACAGATGTGCTTTCTTCTAAGCAAAGCCAGAGTATTTATACCCATATCGTTGAAAGATGTCTCAAGCAAAGAGAGTACTATGTTGGTGTTTACTTATTTGCGCATCATCATGTGACATCTTAAAATTTTTAGGTTGTTTAAACAAAAATAATAGTCTGAATCTTTCACAAGGCTAGCATTTGATCTGAAGGCTCATGGGTTAACTTTTAAATTCACACTAATACCTCTTATTAATATAGAAGCAGTAATAAAACTTTTTAACTATGCGTAATCAACTCACCCACAGAGTCCTCGAAGTTGAACTTGACGGGGTTCTCGGCCCGTAACCGCTTGGCAATCTTGCGCCGCTGCAGAGGAACTATTACCAACTGCGTAAGCAGGGCCACCAGCAAAGACAGACCAAAACTGGCGGTCAGGGCTATCCACGTGGGGATGTTGTCCATGTAGAGCAGCTTGGGACCGTCCAGCACCACGCTGATCACATTGATGAAGAACGTCACGCCGTAGAAGATCGGCAGCGATCGGAATCCCGCCTTGAGCGGCTCCTGGGCACGAAGGATGAAGCGGCGAATGGCCAGGAAGAGCAGGATGCTCACAACTCCGCTCATCACCGGCGAGATAAACCACGATCCCACGATGGTGCCTAAAGTGGACCACTTGAGGCCCTGGACCCCACGGGCCACCAGGGAAAATCCAATGGTGGAGCCCACGATGCTGTGTGTTCCCGATATCGGCAGCTTCAAGAAAGTGGCCACCAGCAGCCACACGGCACTACTGGCCAAAGCAGCCACGCAGCCCAGCATCAGAACTTCCTCGGATCCCTCGTACAGACCAACTTCCAGGATGCCCTTGCGCATGGTGTCCGAGACCTTATAGCCTGCAAGATAAGAAATCATTAGTATATAGTACTTTCTTATTTAAAATGTTTTAAAATGAAATTTAAATGTAAGTACATTCTATATTGTTTTATTCCATTTCGACAATTATATATGTTTGTTTATACTTTGAGGTGATTTAAAGAAATATAGAATGAAAATAAGGAACTATTTCAAGGACAAATGGTAAGAATATGTATATTAACATTGTTTGTCTTCTTAGTTTTGAATTTAATTTAAAAAATTCCTTTGTTTCTTGGTCATTTTGTTCTAGTACTTAGTATTTAACAGCTTACCAATCAAAACGGCACCCGATATTTCGCAGATGGTGGCCAGAACGCATGCCTGCCGTATGGTCAGAACTCCAGAGCCCACACTGGTGCCAAAGGAGTTGGCCACGTCGTTGGCACCGATTCCAAAAGCCAGGACAAAGGCGATCAGGAACCCGATGACCACCATCCACAGTAATTCCGGCGCATAGCTCTCCATGTTGCCGACAATGTGGTTCGGTGTTGAAGGTAATCCAAAACTCTTTTCGGTGCAAACCACTAAACTGCCTCTCAACTCTAACTAAATACTGATTACTCTTCCCCTACTCAAAAACTGAACTCAAAAACTGTATGTGTTTGGGTGGTGCGGATTTAACTGGGTGGATGGATGACTCGAATTGTGCAAAACAATTGTTGACAACTTATAAAATACAAGACTACGTAACAAATGAGGGTCGAAACGAAAAATACAAATTGGTTAATAAGTGAGAAATTCTTTTCAAATATTCTCTAAACAGCCATATTTGCGCTTAAACTTCATTGTCGTTATTTTCATAATGAAAATGGGGGAACAACTCGCCGCTTGGAACTGCGAAGGTGCAATACTTAGTTGACTAATTACCCTGAAATGTTATCCCTCTGACTAAACCCTTCGGTTTGGAGCCTCTCTCTTCCCAGCTGTGGATCAGCTCTGCCTTAAGTTAAGCAATAAATAAATAAAATCCTACAAATAACCCTGGGTTGGACAAAACATGAAAACGAAACGAACAATATTCCAAATTAAAATCCTCCTCCTTTGCGAAATAATTCCTGCTATCGATGGAATCCAGTGCTCAATGCTGAGAAGTATTTAACTCCACTTGTATTCGTTTAACTCCTGGATGACTCCTTAAGCAATTGTTGTGTTTACGTTTCGAGATTAAACGAAGTTGTTGATGTTGTTGAGTAAGTGGATAGTGTTGTTTGTTGTGTTGGTTTGTTAATAATTAATTATAATAAGTTTCTTGTTATGTTGAATAGGAGTTAAGAAGTGTCGAGTTGGTAAACTGAAACAGACGAAAGATCGTTGGCGATTAAATAAGTACTTCCTGATAAATTAAAAGGCGTCTTACCTGACGTTTGGGGTAGCACAGTTGTTTCAACCATAGAGAATTATTCACCATGTCTGGAAATAAATGGAAAATATTTTAAATAAGAATAAAATTTTTAGTAAACCTTTTTGAGTTCTGGTGGTTTATATCTTTCTTATTTCCCACAAGCAAAACACTGAACTACTTGGGATAAGCACACCAAACTTTATGATCCAAAAACGGTTTAAAACCAATTTTAATAGTATACTAAAAATACAAAGTCTTAACTGGTTCAATCAGGTGGAAATAGGTTTTTAGAAACTCTGCTTGTATTATTTGTACCTCCCCAACAATTTTAAATTCCGTTCAATTTGCGTGTGATCATCACTTTCTAGCAACTTTAAACCGGTAACAGCCGGAAAACAACCATTCAATGAGTATTCCAATTGAAAATGAATTGTTTGGTATGGGAATATGTATCTAGTTTTCTTTAATTTTTTATTTCCAGATGCAGCCGGACACACGTGGTTGGATCTTTTGGCAGAGCGCGGTGCTGCGACAATTCAAATGAAAACTCGCAATTGAAATTGTAATTGCCACTGGTTGTTATTGTTACTATTGTTCAGATTGTTGTCATCAGTGCAAATTCAGCAAACAATGGTTTTTCATTGCTTACAATGAAGATCAATGACTCCGTAATTTACTGATGTAAATTATTTCAAATGCTGCTGTTCCAGGAAAGGTACCTTGTGTGGGTATTCTGGGTAATTTAAGTAATTCCTAGCCTTTAAAAGTTACGAAATTAAAAGAAAGGCTTATAAACATATCACCTCATACAATTATAAATATAATGATTTATCTTAAACATTATAAATGTATTGTTGGATTAGAAATAATACTTAAATAATATTATGATGATCAATGATCAGCTCAATTTAAAAACTCATTTCCTAGAGTTTGAACAGAATATATTTAAAAAGCTCTTATAAAAAATATCCTAAATATATTTGTAGTTGCACTGCCTGAACTAAATGACTATTTTTACTGTGTGTGACAAACATATGTTACTTTTATAACCATGTGAGAGTACAAAACACATCGTAAACAGTTTAATTACCTATGGTGCCCCCAAAGAACTAGAGAACAAAACAAACCGAAACAACACTTTTATTTCGCACTTGCCGCAAAACACCAAACCCCATGTTTGACCTACCCAAATAGAAAAACCTCAAGAAAACCCACCCACAAACAAGAGGAAGAGAAATGACGCCAAGAGGGCGATGGGCGTTGGGTGGTGGTGGGGTTAGAGGTCAGAGGGTTGACAAAAGTAACCAGGACAATGGCTGACATCGCGGCCCAGCAAGGTCGCAACTCTTTGTGCCGACGCTCGGTCGCGAAATTTCCATATTTGCGTGCTTTGTCATCGGTGGATACGCCTTTCACCCTTACCACCCACCACCCACAACCCACCTCCCAGCGGGTGCCCATTTTCATCCCCACAATGGAAATGGAAGGGAAACAATCATAGGCTTGCTGTAATCGCTACCAATTTAGCGGCGTATTTTGAACTTTTGAACTATAAATACGCAAACACGCAAGTGTTCATAGTTTTTGAGCCACTGCATATGCAAATAAATGTTTGTTTATTGCGAAATGTATGGGATCGATTGAAATGAGTAATAGAGAAAATCCCAGAGTTATGGCGACTTTATGGATAATAAATCGCACAAAGAGCACATTTATTATTTACCATAACTTCTAAGTCTTCAATTCCACAAAATTCTCGAAAATATTACATAAAGCACTTCCAGTAAATGGTCCTATTGAATTCCTACGGCAATAAATCAATTCCCACCCATTGTCGATTGAGAAATTACTGTTATTGCCTGGCAGGTGGGCAGTTTGTAATTGGAATGAACCGTTAAGGCCGATCGAATCGAAGGTGGGAGGGCAGTGGGTGGTTGGGTGGTTGGGATGCCGGGCAATCAATGTGCACCGAGTGGCTTCACGTATTGCTATTGCCATTGCATGACATGAAAATGGAATTAAAATGGATTGAATGGCAAGTGCAAAATAACAACAGATGCCAAAGGGCCGAGTACACTGAAAACAACAAGGGATGCAGCTTGATTTCGTAAGTATAATCTTTAAAACATATAAAGGGTGGCAAAGAAACCTATACAGCTTTAAAATACCTTAAAAAGGAGCCTACCAAATGTAGAAATAGGTAACAATATACTAATCAGCTCTTCAAAAATGTTCAAGTTTTAGATATTTCTTCATTTCTTTAGATATTGTAATTCATTTCTTAATTTATTTTATATATACATACATATATTAATTTTTTTGCTCCAAAACCTTTGAGTTTTTAAGTTGAACTCTGTGTATTTCTCATATATTCCATGAATTTTAAAATATTTGTATTATTTTTTAAATAATATTAATTGCAAAGCCGTTTTAGTTTTCTACTCAAACAAAAAAACATTAAGTTAAGATTTAGTAAAGGCTGTATTAAAAGTATACCAGAGGCAGTATTGAACTTATAGTATAGATTCAGGAGTTAATAACTAACTTCACAGTTTCTTTTATAAATTAAAGAGTTTAAAATTTCGTTTTATGGTTTTAATTTTTTTTATTTTTGGAAAGTATTAACTTAATACTCATCTTCTCAACGCCAAATCGATACTGAATAGAGAAGAATAAATGTAGAAATAGTTGCTTTTCTATAACTATTTTTTTCGGTGTAATTAGATGAAGCTTGATTTAATTTTGTTGCGTGTACGATGCACCTGCCGCGTCACTGGCAGCCTTGACATTGCCGTCTGCCAACTGCAATTGCAACTGCCTCTGCAAACAGTAAGCTGCATTTAATATTGATTTAATTTGCTGCACTGTCCCAAGGACGGATCTAGTTAAAAAACGCTGAAAGGGGCGAATTATAGAGGCCTGCAACAGACTTTTGGGCCGAAAAAAGCCACCGCTGCACGCTCACTCAGCCAGCGAAATTTCCACTTGTTGTTTTGCTGAGGCGGTGGGCTCACTTTTTGGGGTGGTTACTGCCGCAAGTTCAAGGTCGAGTCGTCGCCACTAAATCCAGGGTAACTTGCTTCAAATTAACACCACCACATCCAGTGGACGTCAAACTGTACCCACAGCGAAGCCTCTTTTCCCTTCCAATCAGCCATCCCCTGTTTAGCCCAATCCAATTGGAGACGCTCTCATGTGTGAAAGGGGTGCACACAAATAATTAACAAAGACCTGCAACAACCAAAAGCAACAGCAACAACAAACTAGCGAAGGTCATTGGGCAACAAGGTGAATAAAATGTAAAGAGTTCAAAAATTTAACAAGATGGAATAATAAATTGTGAATACCAAATCGATGTATAATGAGCTGTACGGTCGAGATCTAAAGAATTCGCATTTCATTCAGTTTTGAGTTTTAAAATTATTTTTCTTAAGGATTACAAATACAAAGAAAATATTTACCAACTATTACAACTTTATCAATCTATAACTTGTTGTCAAAAATGTGAATAAAAAGTAAAGAAATCAAAAATTTAACAAGATGTAATAGTAAATTTTAAATACCAAATCGATTTATAATTAACTGTTCAGCCTAGATCTAAAGAATTCGCGTTTCTTTCAGTTTTGAGTTTTCAAATTATTTTTCTTAAGGCTTACAAATACAAAGAAAATATTTTCCAAATAATACAATTTTGCAAATCTATAACTTTTTCGAAAAAGTTCAATTTTTCGAGAGACCACTGTGTTTGTGCAAACGTTTCTGGCACGTGTGACTGTACAAAATCGAGTAGTAAAAATAATGCGGAGCTCGTTTGCCATAATTATTCTCTTTCTTTCGTTATTTCTTTTCCACCTTACCTGACCCTCATAAAAAAGTTTAAACTTCAAAGCTGTTTGGCTCTTTGGGGTTTTTTCCATCACACGAGATCCGAATATCACGATTTTGTCTGCTGATATTTAAAACGTGTGCACAAAAAAAGAACAAAAGCGTATTTTGCCGCCTCATTGAATTTCACATATGTATGTATATGTTTGTACATATAGGGCTATAGAAATAGCATTCCCATTCAATAAGTTTTGGGCACTTGGCAACAGGCAAACGTGAAGATTAAAAGAAAGATATAAATCAATCGAATTTGGATTAAACTGAAGAGTCTTAGGTTAAAGAAGTCAATAATATATTAGTATGTATAAATAAACTTAATTTATAAATTTACTAAAAAAGAGTTACCCAAGGTAAAGGTAAAGGTAAAGTCAATATATATGTTTTTATGTTGTTCCTATATGATTTGTAAATTTATTTTTAAGACAATGAGTTGAAGAGGTGTGTTTGTCCCTCCTAAAGAAGTTAGTTTCTCTTCTAAATTTAGGTATATCAATGTTTAATGCCAACAAATAAGTCTGGAGTTAGGCTTAACTACAGAACGTTTAAATAATATGTTAATTACTCAAAAAAGTTCACTAGTCGAGGGTTCACCCTTTCAAGAGGTGGAAACCCCTTAAAAAAATCGGTGGTTATATCGTTCATAATCCCTGAAGTAGGACCCAGAACTCCAACTGTACTTGCCAGTTTGAGAGGCACTCGTGCAGTGACCACCCAACCGCAAGTTGCAACGATGAGAGCACCGAATCGGTCCAATTCGCACACACTTTCCTTCCGGCGGCGAGTGTGTACACGCTTTGACCTTGCGGGGTTGCTGGTACCAGCCCTACACCACCCACCACCCACTCTACTCTCGAACCAACTCATTCATGACCCAGACCAATCCGTTTATCCATGATATCATTTAGTGCAGAAAAAATTGAAAATTTCTTCTCTTGACGTAAGCACAATGATCTGATGATATTCCGAATTTTTAAACAGTCAAAACGTTTTCCTGAGTATGAGGCTTATATCATGTGCAGCAGATACAGATTTTGAGATTGTGGTGTTTTGTGTTGCTCTATTTTAAAGTTTACGTGCTCTTCGGAAAGCTGCTCTATTTAGTTTCTTTTCTGCTTGTTAAATTTAGTTCCTAGGCGCAAAAACTGTACAAAAAAAGATGCCTAAGTTGTACTCCTCCCCTAAACTTTTCGTCTTTACAGTGGAGCTCACCTCATCTCATCATTTCGTAGAGGTTTTATTTTCGAGTTACTTAAAATGGTTTGAAATTTTAAATATGTCAAAATATTTGGTATTTTTAAATTTACTTAAGTTATTATTCTTTTACGAAGCTTACATCTTTTGTATTCATTTAATAATATAATAATATATATTCATAATATTAATAATAAAAATGATTTTTAAAGGAAAGGGTAGGAACATCTTTAAAGATTAAAATAGGGCATTTCTAAAGTAAAAAGTTTGAATGAACGTTAATAGGGAAAAAGGTAACAAACACACCGAAATTTAATTAGGAATATACAAATTCCTAAAAGAGTATTTAAATTTAAATGGAAAATACTTAATTAAATATTCAGCAAAGTAACCAAGTTTCGAAGGTTGTAAAAGAAATGACGCCTCAGGATAGGCTTATTATTTTGAAGGAAGGCAATGCGTAGAGGGTATTCCTTTTTAAATCTGTTACGGTTATTGAGTAAAGAGCTCTTAGTCGAATGGAAAGAAAGAAATAGCAAAAGATTGGTAAATTTCACAATAGAGAGGAGGCACAAAGGGGGAGGTGGGGCGGCGTTCGATAGTGAATCATACTAGTGGTGTTGTTGTTTTAGGGAAATGTCAAAGAGAGTGGGGGAGTCGGGAGTGTCTGGAAGCTGCCAGAAGAGATGACGGAGAGAAAGAGAGTGCGCAGGGAAGTCTTCTTTCGCCCCAACACTCGCATTCTATCATTCTTTCCACCTTGATAAAGTGGTTGTTGTTGTTTTTGGTGAGGCTGCAGCTGCGAAGCAACAATAACAACCACAACATAGGCTGCAGAAAACAGCTGCCCAGCAAATCAGTGGCTGTCAAACCGTTTTGCGAAATATCAAAAAGTAACTGTACTCTGGTCCAGTGGAAAACAAAAAGTTGTTTGGTTTTTTGAGAAGATGTACTTCGAATTGGGTGCCATAAGCCACTTTTTTCTCCTTTCGACCACCCCACTTTTGCTCCACAACCAATCGATTGCCCAGTTTATTGATTTTTCTACTAAAACATTTTGCATTTGTTGCTTGTTTGGATATTTTGCTTAGTTTTTTTTGCAGAAAGAAATACTGTCGAAAGTCAAGCACACACACGCACTCTGTGAGCACACCCACGCGAAAAACACGCGGCGCCAGCCAGACTGCAAGGATACACAAGGATATACGTGCAAATATCCTGCAGACACACACTCACGCGCACAGAAAAGCTCGCCAGGAGTTGGTCCTCCTGGATTTGCCCAGATGACAACCATTTGGGAGGACTGGCAAGAGTTCGGCCGAGTCCTTAAAGCGGTACTCACTTGATCAGCAGCACTTTTTCAAATCAATAACTCGCCTCTCGAATTTATTTAAGCGGGACACGCGCGCAACCACCGGTAGAGATGTGAAAAATACATCAAAATATCGACGTTTTTTAAATAAAAATATTTATGTCGTGATATTTTTATCACCTGATAAATCGCAACTATCGCTATTTTTTAAAATATATTTTTCCAACTAGCTCTATTGTAGAAAACGTAAGTTCTTAAAAACGTAAGTGTCAGCAAACGTAAGAGTCACGTAAGTGTCAGTAAAAGAGGGAGATAGCAAAAACGAGAGTGCCAGTAAAAGAGGGACTTAAAAAATATACCAAAACATCAATATGTGTATGTTTAGAATAAAAATATTTTGTGATATTTATCACCTGATAGATCACTATACGTAAGTGACAGAAAACGTAAGTGTCGGCAAACGTAAGACCACATAAGTGTCAGTGAAAGAAGGAGACAAAAAAGTGACACTTGCCTCAAGTTAGGGATTTGAAAAATATATCCCATATCAACACATGCATATTTTTTTAATAAAAATTCAAATTTTATATCGTTATATTTTTTTACCTGATCTATCAAATATCGATATTTTGTTAAAATATATTTTTCATATTTTATAGTTTATAGTGTGAAAAAACCGTCCCTGAAACTAAAAACGAACCAGTCCGAAAAATGCACAACCCACAGGTCCTAGTTTCCCAGTCCAATTCCCACAAATCCCGCCAAATCCGGGACAACATCCGAGTGCAATTGGAATCTTTTCTCCCAAAACCAGTTTCCCCTTTCTACCAGCGATTCCAACATTGCTGTTAGAAAACTTTGTATCTTAAAATTGCTGTTAATGGACCTGCGTTTAGCACACCAACTTGCTAGATGTGAATTGCCAGAAATTCACAATACGATTACACTTTCGCTGTGATTTTCGGTATTTATATACTAAAAAGTATATATAAATCAGTATAAATATTTGAACACTGTGGGCATCGATACTAAAAGTTTAGTTAATATCCTGTGGTGTACATTTGATTTTGTTTTGACAATAGTGGTGTTAGACCATTCTGGTAGCACCGTTGTTAGAAGCAAATAATTTGATTTGAGACCACGTTTAAAAAAACCATGACGAAAAGCGTTAGCCGCCTTTTTGGCTCTCACTGTGTTTCTCATAACTGGCACCCAAATATAGTCGATGCGAGTATTCAACATCATTCGTAATATCTATTTATGCGTTATTTTTCTTGATGGCAGCTGTTAGCGAGTACACAAGCCACGGAGTTGCCACTTGGCGACAAAACCATTTTGCAGTTCCGGAACCTGGTAACCCTGCGGCCGTGACATTACAAAAGAAAAAAACAAAACAAAATTATCGCCTCCCCGAAAAAAGGGGAAACTAAGGCAGTGAAACTCGAGCAAACAGAATGTTCCATTTCAGCGGCTTCAACATGATGTTCCCGGAGGGACGCAGTTTCCATGCCACCTACAAGTGCTTCTCCGTGTCCATGTTGCCCGGAAACGAGCGATCCGACGTAGAAAAGGGAGGAAAAAGTGAGTTGCTTGGGGAAAATCCTAGATGAAAGATCTCTTAGAACCCATGCTAACACCTCATAATCCGCAGTTATTATGCCCCCATCCGCACTGGACACGCTGACCCGTCTGAACGTGGAATACCCAATGCTCTTCAAGCTCACCAACGGCAAGAAATCCCGATCCTCCCACGCCGGCGTCCTTGAGTTCGTGGCCGACGAGGGCAAATGCTATCTGCCCTACTGGATGATGGACAATCTGCTGCTGGAGGAGGGCGACATCCTGAACATCGAGAGTGTATCCCTGCCGGTGGCCACCTTCTCCAAATTCCAGCCGCACAGCACCGACTTCCTGGACATCACCAATCCCAAGGCGGTGCTGGAGAATGCGCTGCGCAACTTTGCTTGCCTCACGAAGGGCGATGTCATAGCCATCAAGTACAACAAGAAGGTCTACGAACTGTGTGTCCTCGAGACGAAGCCCGGCAATGCGGTCAGCATCATCGAGTGCGACATGAATGTGGAGTTTGAGGCGCCGGTAGGCTACAAGGATCACTCGGAAACGCATGCTTCGGGCTCGGGACAACCGGGCGCGGCAGGATCTGCGGGCGGTGAGGTCGCCGGAGGGGCCAACGCCATACTCGAGGAGGTCGTTGAGACATTCAAGGGCTCTGGCGTCCGTTTAGATGGCAAAAAGAAAAAGGAAAGCCAGCTGGAGACGCCGGTCGTCAAGAAGGTCCTGGCCCGCGGCGTGCCCGACTACGACTTTCAGTTCGGTCTCATTCGCTTCGACCGCAACATTCGCCCCATCAGCGATAGGGGCAACGATGAAGGCGCCGCAGCTGGCAATGCAGACGGTTCCGAGGCAGAGAGCTTCCTCGGCACTGGATTCTCGATGAAGAAAACGCGCAAATAGGTCTAGCTGTAGTTCTAGTTCTAGTTGTATATTGTGTGACACATAGAAATTAAAGGAAGATCCTTACAGGGGCAGCGTCAACTTGATGGCCTCCTCTTTGGGCGGCGCCGGTGGCGATATTGTGGTCATGGGCGGCAGACGGCGTATCTTGCGACCGTGCTTGCCCTCCTTGCGTTTCCACAGGCCGGAACGCGGGCGATTGCCCAACTCCCGCATGCGCTGGGCACTGCCCACATGCTCCTTGTTGTGGTCCGGGTTGGACAGACGGCCCACAGTGGCCATGCAGGTGCGCTGAAAGGCAAACTCTCGCTTGGAGGGCAACTGCACCACCACCTTGTCGTCGAACTTGCGCAGGATGGTGCCAAAGGTGCCGGCGGCGTGGATCAGATGGCACGTCTGTCCGGGGTTCTTCTCCAGGCAGTGGATGCGGGTGCCCACAGGCAGGGCTCCCAGTGGATACGCATCACCTTCGTTGGGACGTACTAGAGGATTGTGGGGGAGATTATTTAGTTGCATTGAAGCCATAGGAAGATGAAAATGAAGCATTTATGGTTCAGTACTGTGCTACCCAAAAAGGAAGGATTTTTGGACTTTATAATTCGTTGAGCACAAGCTAAAGATTCATCGATAGTTCAAATAATGATGATACTTAAAACCGTTATTAATTAACATTTTTTGACCAATTTTTGAATAATATGGTTAGGGTCTATAATTTAAAAAAATTATAAGAACTCCATTAACAAGATTTGTTAAGTGTGTAAAAATATTTAGGATTCTGACTGAACACATTTCAATAAATTTAGATTTAAAGTTAATTAATCCATACAGAACTTTCAACATCTGTTGCTTTATAAATGTATTTGTTTTCAACGAACATATTGGAGTTCCGAATAAAGCTCCCTTCCTAAATCGAAAATGAGAACAAGGTTTTCAAAGCTAACATATCATTGGACTCAGACAAGTAGTTAGTTACTTCCTGTATGGGTATTAGTATGGGTACCCACCCGGAATCCTGGGAATCAGTCGCGAGGTCTTGAGGATGTCGCCCGCCTTCATGTTCTCGGTGGCCAGGATGTACTTGAGCTCATCGCCGACGGCCACCAGGGCCACTTTGGCCGTGCGACAACCGTCGCGTATCACCTCCAAGACCAGTTCCTCCTGGGCACCGTCTGTGGGACCATCCCTCACCCACTTGACCCACCTATACTGCTGCTTCAGGCCGCCGCCAATGCCCTTGGCCACCAGACGACCCGAGACCGGATCACGGCCGGCCAAGTGGGTAATCTTCAGCGGCTCCACCGTGTACTCCTCCGGAAAGTGGACAGATCGCCGGAATTGCTGTCCGGCACCTGGTTTTGGTTTCTCCACCACTTTGGTTTTGCCGCGCAGCTGCTGCAGGGCACCGCCCACTGCCGCCATGCGAGGCGACGTTTGCAGGCTCAAGCTGGTGCTCAGCAATCGCGTTAGACTTTGCATTTTCCCAGTTCGATTTAAAAAATTAAATACAAAAAATTTTCCAAACTGTTACAAAATCGAAATGCGGCGGAAAACAGCTGATCGGCAGCGTTGCCGGACCACCAGTGGGCCATGCCTGGCTTCGGGAGCCGGCGTTGCCACCGCGTCGCTCGGACCGATCTCTTCTTCTTCCTTACGGTGGCTTACGTTTTGTTGACAATAACGTTTCGCATTTCCATCTCCCTTTTTCACTGACTTACGCTGAGGCTATCTCCTTTTTTACGGACCACGTTACGTGTTACGTTTGTTACGTTTCACCGCAACGAAACCGCGTTTTGAAAAAGCAATAAGAATCGGGAAAACCGCATTAAAATCGCTGAAAAAGTGCACAAATCGGCTTTAAATTATTGCCCAATTACTAGTGTTACGTTCATTCGAGAGATTTAACAAAGCGCAACGGCCAAAGGTTTTTTCCAAGAAGGTACGCAGAAAATAAAAATAAACAAGGCGAACAAAAAATAATATACACACACAAACACGCAGCGAAAAACGTGTTGTGTGCGAAAAAAAAAGACTGAAAAAAAGAACAACAAAAACAGTTCGAGTTGATAACCAACGGCGAAAATATAAACAGCGAAAGAGCGAGCGAGAATTAGTAGTAATAAAAATCAATAGCAGAGTGAGCGGAAAAGCAACCAGCTAAATGGCATATAAATAAATATTAAGTTTTTATTTTGGAACACGCTCACACAGCGCGCACACACACACACCGTGCACACACACGGGCATGCATAGGTGTGTATGGGTGGCCTCAAGTGTGTGTACATATTTTGATGTTAGGTGGGAAAAAAGCGGGCGGCAAGTTTACGCAATCGCCGAGCGAAAAGCAAAGAGCAGCAGGCTTCAGCTATACGTTGTGAAAAGTGTGCTTTTTGTGTGTTTACAAAGAGACAAACAAGACATCCGTCGTCTGTATGTATGCGCAGGTGGAGTCGGTTGTCGGTTGCTAGCTGAAAAATCAACGAGCGGCATTTTTTACGCATTTCCAATACGCCATATGTATGCGTGTGTGTCTGTGTGTATTTTGGTGTTTTTATTTATTTATTGTGCTTCTCTTTCGCCTTCTCCTCCGTCGTTTTGCCGTTACGAGTGACCCAACACACACACACACTCATATATGTAATCGCCAAATCTATATGTGGCTGTGTGTATGCGTGTGTTTATTTATATGGCCGTATGTATGGGCGATTGTTTGCCTTTTGTTGTTCTCGTTAATTTTATTTTGGTTTCGTTTTGCATGTTTATGCATGCAAGCTCGATCGATTGATGGGGGAGCCATGTGGGGCCTGCCAGTGCGAGAGTTCTCAGCCCGACCGAGTGTGAGTGTGCGAGTTCCAGCGTGTGTGCGTGTGTTGGTGCCCAAGTGGAGCCAAACAAGTCGGAGAGTGGAACAGTGTTGCCAACGCTCGTTTATAGCCGCATACAAAAAAGTCGCCTTATTCACCGCCCCTCCCCCCGCCAACTTCCTTTCCCCCATCGCAAACTCAAGATACAGATCGTTCAGCGAAAAGTTTCGGTTGCCATGGAAGTCCCTCTGTCTGCACTTATTTTCCCCCAAATCCCTGCGAGTAAGTTGAACTTGTGGCGAATTCCATTGTTATCCATTTGTTGCACAGGTGCACAAGCAAAGTGTTTCATAAGAATCAAAGTAGTGGTTGCATAGCTTTAGGGTCACACACAACCATTGTTTACATTCGGTCGGTATTTGTTTATTAAAGTCAATCAGTTAATAATAAATAATTGATGACATACATATGTATGTATTTATGTATCTGTACATCTTACTAAAACTTTGCAAATTATCATATAAAGTTTTATAAAAAAATTCACATAAGCAAATAAAATTTAAAAACAAACTTATAAATTAAATCTAACACCGGGCAGCAATGATCTATTCATCATACAAAATTTATTCAACTAGTGTTTTTTAAACAATAAATATAAATTTTAAAAACCTAATTTTTTTTGTAAAAGCCGACTATACAACTACGATTAATAATTTCATTTTTTTCGAGACCCTTTAAGTGTCACATGGACATACCCTTGATGCAGCTTTTTTCCGCTTTGAATGATTTATTCGCTATTTGTGGCATGTAATCGCCTGTTGGCAACTCTGGCCGCAAGCTCAGTTTGGAGAGAGGAGATACCGACTTGTGTGCGGAGTTGGAGAGAGGAGATTTTTCCATTCCCGGGAAAACGAAAACGAGCGCAAGCGTGAGCCTTTGCAGTTTGCCGCTCTCTCGGCTGCTCCGCTATATACATCCGTATTTATAGGTGTGTGTGTGTTTACTCACGTAGTGTCCGCCGCGTAGTAGTAGTAGTTGTGTTATTATTATTATTATTGTTGTTGCTTCAATCGGCGCTTGTTTTTGTTGCCGACCGAGGTATGTACATAGGTGCGATTGTATGTGCGGCTGCGGTAGCAAAACAGTAAAGCAAAAACCGAAACAGCAACGGTGTGCGTGTGTGTGTATATTTGGAAAATAATTTGTGGCTGACGAAAAGAAGAAACCTTGGGGCCAAAACGAAAAGAGGGAGAAAAGCGCGTGAAAAGCTATGAAAAAAGGGGAAAAATTAGTGCATTAATGTACGAACAGTGTGCGAATAAAATAAATAAAGTTCTTGATGTGCAAAGTCAATAGGTAAAAGACCTTTGCTGCATAACCATAAAAACAGTTGCAATCAAAAATGATTGTACACACGGAAAATAAATGACCAGGCAACTTAATTAATCAAGCATAATCAGTGTAGAACAATTAGTACGAGTGGATTGATTTTACATAAACAATGGTTAATTTATTTATTATTATTTAAGTTTTTTTATTTATTGTAACTTAAACAAGTTATGTAAATAAATTTTAACAAAATTTCAAAGGTCTGCTATTATTAATTCAAGGTATTTCTCAGAGAAAAGGAAATAGTTTTGCTTAAAAAGTGCCTATGAAAATGTATACCTAATAAGATTGTAATAATTTATAATTACTAACCGATAAGAACTCCTTTATTTTATCAATTTTTTACAATACCCAAAATTTAGTCAGTATACCGCCTTTACCTATACTTTTTAAATAGCATCTATGAAATGAAAATTTTCCATTTCCACTTTCCAGGCAAACAACAACAGTAAGCGAGCATAGGACAAGTGGGATTTACCTTTCAATGGCCGCCACTACAACAACAACAACCACAACACTAGCAACTACCACCGGCAATAGCAGCAGCACCACCAACAACAACAGCATCGCCAGCAGCAATAACAACAACAACAACATTGTAACCGTACACGCCGTACTGAACAACCCACCCACCAACATTGCAGGCGGTGGTGCAGCCGACGCCGCCACCGTTGCGATTGCCAAGGACATGTTGCAGCTGCACCATGGCGCAGCAGCAGCAACAGCGGTGCTGAACAACAACAATAATAGCAACAGCAACAATAACAACAGCAGCAGCAGCAACAGCGCGGGGAGCAACAACAACAGCTCCGATCAGCTGAGCAACAATTCAGCAAACCACCCACCTGCCACTAGTAGCACCACCGCCTCCTCCTCCTCCGCCAGCACCACCACCCCCTCCGCCAATGCCTCATCATTGTCATCGTCTCCGCCGCCATATGGAGAGCTGCGCTTTAACCAGGAGGTACTGCCCATCACGGACGCCGTGACGGTAATCGGCCGCAACTCCTCCACATCGCTGGTCCATTTCAACGTGGCGGAGAACAACCTGGTGTCGCGAAAGCACTTCCAGGTGCTCTACGACGTGGAGCTGCGCGCCTTCTTTGTCCAGTGCCTCAGCAAGAACGGCATCTTCGTGGACGATTTCCTGCAACGGCGGAACGTGGATCCACTTCGTCTGCCCCAGCGGTAAGTAAATCGAGTAAAGTAAATTATAAACATTGCCTTAAGAACTTAATACGCCACCACACCACGTATTATCTCTTTTAACTGATGGATTTGGTTGGCTGTCCTATCTTGTCCATGGAATCATATTTTAGTATGAAAAGAGATAATATTCATAAGAAAATCAAATGGAATACAATTCACACGAGTAGGTGGTTGTCACAGAAATCTCTTTCAACATAAGACGGTTGTGTATTGGAACTTCAACTGATTTTGGGTTAGAATAGATTTCTTTGACATCCCCTGCCACTAATTATTTACAAATTTAAAGACACATTAACACATCTTTTTTACTTGCATATTTATCTCTAATACATTTCTATTTGCCATCTTATGCAGCTGCTACTTCCGCTTTCCCAGTACGGAGATTCGCATCGAGTTCGAGAGTTATGTGCCCGCCACTCCATCGGATGCAGTCGCCGGCCATTCGCCATCGTTGGTCGTGAGCGGTGGCGGAGTGGGTGGTGGTGGAGCCCAGGTCATCATTACACCGCCGCCAAGGGACGAACTTCACCAGCAGCAGCAGTTGCATCACCACCAGCAGCAGCAGCAGCAATTGCAGCAGATGCACCACCAGCCAGCGCACCACCTGCAGCAACAGCAGCAGCAGGCCCACCACCCACTCCCGCATGCACCACACCACCCGCTCCACCACACAGCTCTGCACCAGCAGCAACAGCGTAGTGGCAACATCGTTGTGGCGCCTCCAGCTGGTGCCGCCGCCCACCTAATCGCCGGCGATGGACCCGGCATTTATTCTCCGCTCAAGATATCCATACCCAAGAAGGAGCAGAAGAGCCCCTACCTGTCACCAACTGGCAAGTGGAATTTCATCCTTTATACCACATGAAGAACCTACAGGGCACAAGTTGAAGTTGAATACACTATTTAAACACTGTATTTTTTGATTTACTGAGTATTGCTTTAACTTGGTGCTTAGTAGGCAGTCTGTTTTCTAATATTAACTACATTTATTTGCTTGCCATCGCAGGTACAATTAGCGCTGCCAACAGTTGTCCGGCTAGTCCACGTCAGGGTTTCATTCAGAATCAGCCCAACAATTACAACAACTACAGTAACAACAATACAGTGAGTACACCTTCCCAGACCGAGTATGCCCAAACTAATGTGCCATCAACATTTGCAGCAGGATCTGTTCCAGACTCCCTCCACAGCCAGCTACAATCACAACGAGAAGCCGCCGTATAGCTACGCCCAGCTGATCGTCCAGGCCATATCTGCCGCACCGGACAAGCAGCTAACGCTCTCGGGCATTTATTCGTTTATAGTCAAGCACTACCCCTACTACCGCAAGGAGACGAACAAGGGCTGGCAGAATTCCATACGTCATAATCTCAGTTTGAATAGGTAAGATTGTAGGGAGATGATTCCACGATCAGTTAGCATCAGCGTTCTTTACGAAATCAATCTTAACTGTGCCCACATCCTTGCAGGTATTTCATCAAGGTGGCCCGCTCCCAGGACGAGCCCGGCAAGGGCTCGTTTTGGCGTATCGATCCGGACAGCGGCGCCAAGCTGATCGACCACAGCTACAAGAAACGTCGCCAGCGGAGCAGCCAGGGCTTCCGTCCGCCATACGGGATGCCCCGCTCGGCGCCTGTTTCGCCCAGTCACATGGGTAAGTGGTGATGGCCCAACATCTCATCATGACATTCTGTCTAACTCTTCTTGATTTTCTGTAGACAACTCGCGCGAGAGTTCACCGCTGCAGGATATTGTGCTGCAATCTGCTCCCGGATCGCCGGGTATGTCCCTGGAACAGCGAGCCGCTGATGCTGGTAAGTTTTGTCCTTATAACTTAGTGACAGCATATTAATTTCTTAATCTTCTCCATTCTGTTGCAGAAATAATCTACAACTCTCAAAATGCACACCAGCAACAGCAGCACCAGCAGCAACAGCAGCAGACACTGTCAAGCAATTCCAATCAGTACAGGTGAGTGCAGCGTGAGCACTTAAACCTAAGACTTACTCCTAACACGTGTTTTAACCTTCAGCAGCGGTAGTCCTTACTACGTAACCAATCAAAACTCCGGCGTGGCCGCGCCACAATCGCATGTTGAGGGAAGCGGCGCGAGCGGAGGCGGCGGAGTGGGAGCTCTGATTGCGCTGAAGAGGAACCATGTGATGGGCGGCGGGGCATCTCACTCGCTGCATCAGCAGCAGGCGGTGGCTCAACAACAGCAACAGCAGCAGCAACAACAGCATTCAGAGATTATCTACGAGGAGTTGCCGACCGACTACAGTGGTCACATCGAGGCCAGCGAGGAGGAGTGCGTCACCACTGCCACCGATGCCACCGTGGCCAAGCGACCGAAGTACGTGTCCGAGGTGCTCTGATGCGTGCGGATACAGAAGCACCGGCAGCAGAACAAGGGCAAATAGTGGGCCCCACGGGTGGACACGATTAGAAAGCAAAACAAAAAAGTATCTCCATCTTGTATATTGAATTTGCCAATCATAAACCTACCTATACCCCAAAACAAATCAAAGCAAAAAGCGAACCCAAACACAACACAACAAAAGCAAATTGAACGCACGCAAAGCAAAGCAAATTGTATAAATTGATATGGAACATTTTACAAATAGCAACTGTGAGATTGTGTTTGAAATGTTGGCCATTCAAAACCGTTCAACGGCGGCAACTACATGCACACTTTTCGAAATTCGAAACCCGATTCGAAATTACGACTTAATCCCCTATTAGATCTGACGAATTCAATATGCTCGATGACGCTACTCTCTAAGTAATATAATAAAATTTAAGTTTAAAGCAGAGGTAAAGCAGCAAACAAAGCAAAATTATCTAGATATATGCGATTGATTATTGTAATGATTGATGATTATGATGTTTAAGATGTTATAGCTATGTGACCGAATTGTGCGAGAAGCGTGAGAAAATTGGGGAAAATCCAGTAACAAGCAACCAACCACACAAGTAACAAACAAACAGGCGAATGAATAATATTACCTATCTACATACCTTTACCTATATCGATTTAAATATAATATATATATCTATATATATGAATATATATACAAACATTAAAATACAAACAAAAACAAAAATGATGAAAATTAATAAGTAATATCTACAAATTTACGGATACAATAACAATATATAAAGATTGAAATGATAGCACATTATTTCTTATTAATGAAGAAAATCCCATTTAAGTGTTTGGACAAATTGTGTATTAAAAATCAAAAATCAAATGTACAATTTCTTGTTTTAATTTAATAATGATGAAAGTATGTCGTGCAGTGAATTTAATTACAGCTTAAATGAACATCGATTAATTGGTTTTAGTTTATTTTTCTTTTATTTTGTTTTAACCACTTGGAACTTGTTTATTCGAAGGCTTATAAATTAGTACAGAAGTTTTAAACAAAATACAACAACAAATTGATATAAAGCTTAGTTTACATGGCGTTTACAGTACGTGCTATTCTTATTGGTCTGATGATAGTGTCGTCATTTCTACGAGCTATTTTGTACATAAAATTGAATTTGTCTTCAAAGGTCATCATTTTGGAATTTCCAGGGCCCTCAAAAAACTCATCAGCCGTCATGTTGGTATAGTCGATCAAACTCAAAAGAGTCTTGACATACTCGCTATTGATCTTTTTTGACCTGGGATCCAAGGACACTGGGGTTGTTTCAGAAAAGTTTAGTTTTTCGACCTTGAAAGGATTCGGGTTGGCATAATCGAACGGTTTGTTGTTGTTAAGGTGTGAAGTGTCGGGGTTATTCTCGCTTTGATTGGCGAGTCCGCGGAACTGCCATTTATTAAGTTCACTTTGGTTGAGAACGAATCCATGTATGGCCACATACTTCTCTAACATGTCATAACGCATTCTTTCTGTCAAACAGCCCTCTATGGTGTTTAAAAACTCCCTGAACACATCTGAGCCCAGTTCGTAAAGCGTTTCTGGGATCGGAACACCTGATATCTTGCGTTTAAGAGCAACGGAAATGTCACTGACGAGTACTGAGTCGTCAACGTGGTGCGCATGCTCAAAGTACAGTAGCAAGTCCCCGTAAAACATATTGGGTATTCTTTTCCTGATGACCACCTCGCAGTCATCATTTAGCGATTCGACCATCCACATATTGGCGCACTCCTTCAGCTTGATGATATCCGTGTTGCTTAAGCTGTCGAGTGCTTTATTGTCGTAGCTGTATACATAATCCAGGAACTTTTTAAAAACATCAGCGGTGACATTACTTATGGACAACTCTCCCGTTTTAGCCTCAGCAAAGCCCGGCTGAAAGGCGCGCTTGAAGAATTCCGAGGCCACACCCAGTATCACCTTAATGTTTTAAATATATAAGAACATTTTCGTAACCCAACTCGTATCATCACCCACCTTGTGGCATCGGAATGTTTGCGTCCCGACAATTACAGAGCAATCAGCAAAGTCCTCCTCTACCCTTAGTTTCTGAAAAGATTTGGCCAGCCTGTGTAAAGGCATTTACACACGAGTAAGTATAGTTGTATCTGTTGTATTGTTCTTGTATAGCTTACCAAGGTTCCATACTTGAGATATTATTTAAACTGAACTTCGATTAAATATGCGCAGTGCTATTTAGCTAAGATCATCAAGCAGACAGCTTTTGGCAAATGAATTATTTCCAATTCAGTTGACGTGCAGTTAAGCGAGGAGTACTTGATTTGACAATTTATTCAGTGGTTTCCCTTTTTTTAAGACTTGAATTCCGCCGCATTTCCCTAAATGAATAGTAAGCTTCAAAATGAACCACTGGTTCGCCAAACAGCTGATTATCTTTGATCTTGTAAAGAGGGGATTCCACTATATGTAAGTAACGATTTAAATTCAGATGAAAATTTCCAGTGCTGTATGCGCTTATGTTACCATCCAAATATCTATAATGTCTTATAGCCTCTTCTTACTGGCTTAAATTCTTCGTTGGCTTATATTAAATTGTTTTTAGTTTGTTGTTAGCGGAAAAGCAATCGCAAACAGTATTTTAGGTGTTCTGCGCTGCTCTGCGAACAAAACAATAATTGTTTTTTTGATGGTGCTTAAGCTCATATTGGTTTATAATCCCAACTATTCACACCGAAGGACGCTTATACGTCCTCACACAGAGGTCCATCTACCATCCGTTAAATAGTTAATTTCCCATCCAAATTTGACGGACTCTTTTATGCGATAGTTAGGCGATATTTTTCGGTGCAACTGTAAGGTCTTCTTCTTGTCAGTGAAAATTGAAACATTCACTACGAAAAATTAAATAATGAAAAGAGGAAACAATCGAAAATGGAGGGCGCAGAAGCAACAGGTTTGGTTAGGTTTGCCAGATCAGTTTTTATCGTATGGATGGATGTGCCCTGTGGGAATCGGAGTTTCACATTTGTCAAAAATCCCAAACGTTTCGAACGGATTGTTTTTCGTTTTAATAAAATCTTAAACATAATTTTGCACTGATACCGAGCCTATGAATTTTTAACCAGTTTTATGCCAATTTCCCACTTTAATCGCTCTGTCTCATTGAATGAAATCGGTACATTTAAAAATACATGAAACGGTGCTTACTTTTGAATTATACGATTGTGAATTCTGATTTGCATAACCACAGCAATAGTATGTGATCATTGATTGATGTAAGTACTCAAGCCCTGGTTCCTGGACTTTTCAGCCTAACCCTGCGACGGTCACACTGTACGAGATACCTGAAAAGTTTGCAAGTTTTTTCGTCTTGATAAATAATCAATTGTCGAAATGGTTAAAGCTGTCTGCGTAATTAATGGCGATGCCAAGGGCACTGTTTTCTTTGAGCAGCAGGTAAGAGTCGATTACATTTTGGGATGATCTCCACGAAAAAGGGGATAAGAAACAGTGGTTCTAAAGGTCAAGTTGCCGGCATTCCCCCGCAGAGCCCCATTTCCTACATGCTGTTTAAAATTCCTTCGAGCATTTCAATTAAGTCCGATTGCGATTTTTGCATAGTCACCTAACAAATGCACAATTATATAAGTCCAACAACGATGCGTATATGTATACGCTCAAGTACTTACAACTAGGGTCAAAAAAATAACACTAGAGATACTGTAAATGGTTTCACAGGCTCTGGTAACGGTATATAGCACCGCCATTTACAATTCCCTTAATCAATTCATAATAAAATTATCGATTAGAACTTCAAGAAAAATAAAATGTTCCCAACATATTTTTTAATTCTTTTGAATACCAAAAGATTTTAATCACAATATAAAAATCTAAACAATAAGTAGCTAAAGATAGCATGAAATTGGTACATCAGTTTAAGAATTTTTTAATAGAGTAATACCAGTTCAAGTCATATGTGTCAGAGATAATAAGAATAAAATTTGATGCTTACAGATAATATGTAAATGCTCTGTGGGGTATTATAGTCTATAGAGAGTAGTGCATCATTTGTTATAATTTTTTTATTTAACTTGCTTTGAAATAAATATTAAGAAGTTTCTAGAATAGCAGTTAAAACTGTTAATTTAGAAATAATAAATTTGCCCGTGGTGGATCTATGCTCATGAGTGTAGTTATCATTGAAGGACAAGTATTTAAGTGTTTTGGTTTGGACTCGTCATGATTTAACACAACTTCTGCGTTATCAGGGGACATGCCTTATCTTTTGCGTCGGACTAATTGTAACCCACTCTCTTTATCCCTCCCACAGAGCAGCGAGACTCCCGTGACGGTCACCGGAGAGGTGTGCGGTCTGGCCAAGGGCCTTCACGGATTCCACGTTCACGAGTTTGGAGACAACACCAACGGCTGCATGTCGTCCGGACCGCACTTCAACCCCTATGGCAAGGAGCACGGAGCTCCCGCCGACGAGAATCGTCACCTGGGAGATCTGGGCAACATTGAGGCGAGCGGCGACTGTCCCACGAAGGTCAACATTACCGACTCGAAGATCACGTTGTTCGGCGCCGACAGCATCATAGGGCGCACCGTTGTGGTCCACGCCGATGCCGATGATCTCGGCCAGGGTGGCCACGAGCTGAGCAAGTCCACGGGAAACGCTGGTGCCCGCATTGGCTGCGGCGTCATTGGCATTGCCAAGATCTAAGCGATAATCTATTCCGAAGTCGGCCCCTGTGCTGAACTACTCTATTAAGCACTACCCCCTGGAAATATGCAAACGATATACTTATAAATATACATAACCTGTGGTCTGTTAGGTTAATACGCAACCTTTGAGGTTCAATAAATTGGTGTTTTCAAATCAGCCTATAACCAAAAATCATTGTTTTTCTGAATAAAGATCATTCTAAATAATGTAAATGACTTTGTCCATATAAAAGAGATGAAGTTTGGAGGTTCATACAAGAATTAGAACTTGTGCCCTAGTGGATTGAACATTGAACATTGAAAACTCAAATTCTAAAGTCTGAATCGAAAATATTTTAGGAATAACTTAGGTTTTTTCACAACATTATTGATGCTAAAGCGAAAACTACAAATCATGATGAGCTACTCATTTGTTGAATTTTTTGATAATATAAATATCTTAGTTTTAGATTATCTTTTATTTACTTTGGTTACTCTCAGGGCAGCCTGGTTTAAAGTCTTTGTTACACACAAACAATGAGTAAAGTAGTATTATTTACAAAACATGGTGAGAGTCAAGGTATTCGCCAGATGAGTAGAAAACAATATTAATTGCATGTGCGATACAATTTGACTACGAAAGAACAAAGTTCTACAACTATAAGGATTCCAGGTGTGTATTTAGGTCTTGTTGAAATATGACTGGTAGACAATGCCCAATGATGAAGTGGCGAACAACGTAAAGTAGCTCCACCAGGTGGCAAAGCCCAGAAAACCTTTGTACACCTCTGTGGAAAATACCTGAAAACATCATGGGTTAGGAACGGTTGTAACAGGCAGAAGAAAAGTTCTTACATTTTTCAGGCTGCTGAAAGAAGCCTGCAGAGATTGCGCCGACTCGAGGATATTGAAATCACCATCTCCTTCAGACACTGTAGCACTAGCTCCTGCTGGCTCCACTTCGCTAGCTGCACATTCGTGTTGCAGGACGCCGCTTTCCCGGAAGATTCCCGCCCAACTGAAGCCGCCCAGACTCTTGTACATAAGCGTGAGATAAAGGCACAGAATCAAAGGGGCAGCAAATTGCAGGGTCACAACACACAGATAGTAGAAAATCGACGAGATCTGCAAACGAGAAAATGGATAGATGAGAACCTTGATCGTTTTCTACATTAGTTCTGCCTTACCTTCTGCTTGAACTCAACATTGGTGATCCGACCGGCCTCCTTGCGCAGATCCAGGATCTTGTCGTGGGCTAGATTCAGGTACGACTGCAGATATATGGGCATCAGGGCAAAGCGGACCACAACCACTAGGATCACCAACAGCAGGCGAAGGGTCTCGAACACGTGTGGCTTTAATCTGCAGAAACGATCAGAGTTATAGTTTTAAAGAAAACAGAGGGAGAACTACTGCTTACAGTGGCTGTTGCATTCCCTGGAACACGCGCACCGTCAAGTAGTCGCGGCTAATGGGGCGTATCCACAGGATGACCAGGATGAAGGGCAGCACAAAGCTGAGATTCAGAAGCACTTGCAGCAGCTTATTACCGCGGCAGTACTTCAGCGAATCCCAGTGCATCTTGGCCATCCGCAAGCCGGGAAAGGTAAACAGCGAGCCGAGCAGGCCGCATCCCATCGCCAAAAAGAACTTGACCACGATCTTGGAGGCGGGACCACTGCAAAAATAAAATAAAACTGAGCGAATAATTCGGGGCTATTGAGTCGGTAAACTCACGACGATGGCAGGCCCTGCTCGGTGAGGAACTTGGAAGCACTGGCATTAAAGCTGGCATAGGCATCCTCCAGTCCCGTCTCCAGGATCCGTTCGTCCACGATCAGCACGATCATTGCCACCAGCAAATAGACCAGGCAGGCTACAATCACCATCGATCGCTCGCCGATTGACTCCTCACTTTGAAAGTAGAGCACCGTGAGCGAGGAGAGCAGTTTTAGGGCAAAGAAGATGACTAGCAGGCACCAGACCATGCTGAGGTTGATCTCCTGGCGCAGTGGGTAGTAAAAGTGGAAGAGCTGTGGGCGGCAAAACGGAAATTTTGATATTGTTTGCTTTCTGGAAACTAAATTTCTACAAAAAGCACATTATAGTTATATTATCCGAAAAGATATACAAATGTGGCGTTCCTGGATGCTATAGACATCTCTTCTACCTCTATGGATCTTCTTAATTCGCTTGGAAGGAATACTAGTATAGATTCTGTGTACATCTATGAACCAACATTCATCCATTCGTTGCACCTTACGCCCACCTCAGAAACCACGTAGACGATGCCAGTGTAGACGCTGAAGTCCAGCAGCCACTGGTATTCGGTGAAGTATCGCAGGTGGATCACATCCCTCTCGAGAACCGGTGACGTCTGCAGCTCTACTTCGATGCTGCGCGGTATGTGGAACTGTCCAGATCCTCCAGTTCCCGATCCATTTGCCTGTTTGTTACGGCCACCCTTCGGCGGCTTCTCCTTGGGCACTCCGCCACGGGATCGCAGCTCGTCATCGGTGGGATGCAGGTAGCGATGCAGGCCAGTGCGGCACAGAATCCACTTGGCGAAGGAGTAGTGCGGACTCAGCTTTTGGATGACGCTGACCATCACCAAGGTGATGACCAACTGGGCGCCCAGCACAGCCTGGCAAGAGGATAGGAAGAAAATGAAGCATCAGCACATGTCGTGGCTATTTTTGGGGCCCTGCGCTCCGTTCTATTTTTGGTTCATTATTACGACGGACTCCTAATTTTTCCGGGCAAGCCGGTTCGTTTGGACAGTTTTTCCCCCTCATAGGAAGCACTTTTCAGTCATCTTCACTGAACTCACCATCGCTTCCTATTGCCTTGGAGACGTGAAAGTTTCTGAAGTTACAGCTTGTGTTAATTCCAGCGCTAATTAATTCATCATTGTTAATTAAAAGCGGAAATCTCTAACAATTTTCGTCAAAAATTTTCTTTTGTGGGGGCAGTGTGACCGTTTGGTGGATTCTGCAGAACGTCAAAGAAACGTATGTATAACTTTTTGGAAAACAAATTGGCGGGAGTTTAAATAAAGAAAGAAGAAATAAAGAAAATTTTTTTGAATTTCTTAAAATTGTAATTGCATTTTAAGTTTACATTGATATTACATATGCTTTGTAGAAGGAACGATACGAGTTACAAGTCAAGTCACTGGAATTTATATCAAGAAATAAGAATTAAAAAGATTATAACAACCTTCCTTTGTTTTTAGTTTCTTATTTGAACTTCGAAAGTTATTCCTAAATTTCTGTAAAAAGCAAGCTCAAATTTGAAACCAAAAATGTCGAAAGGGAATCAGCCAAACTTTAGTAAGATCTGGGATCTCGGAAAGTGGAATTCGCGGGACATTAAGCACTACAGCTCCATATCACGCATTCAAAAACAGCTTCGCATTGGAAACTGGGAATATCTCTGCCAGCATCCAGAGGTAGTTATATTTGACCCCGTTTTTAATGCTACATTTTTTTAAAAGCGTTTTTCAGATACGTGCCATAATCCGGGTTATCCTGCACCAGGCCCTCAATGCAAAGCCAAAACCAGATAATCTCCGAAAGTTTGTGGCCGAATTGTTCAACTGCGGACAGAACCCGTTGTTAGTGCCTATGGTAAAATGAACCTAGTTGAACCATATATACAAATTAAACACCTAGCTTTAATTTTTAACCTCCGAATTTTGCATAGATAAATACCCAGTTGAAGTACGTAAAGGATCAGTTACATCGGGGCCGCTGGAGTCAGTTTGATGCTGAGATGCTCTTTATGGAGAGTCCTTCGACACACTCGCTCCTATCAACGGCCTCCGAGGACGGCAATGTCCATCCCGTCCTCACTTATGCCCTTGTGTTTAAAAAACCCGATGAGTGCGGCATCGATAAGCCCCCATTTTAGAACCTAATATTTCATCATATCATTATTTTGAATATTGTGAACCGAATCCATTAAATAAATCTCAATTGTTCTAGTATTATATTTTATTGTATTGCTCTCTATTTTGGAATCAATTCCAATCAATTTCAATCAATTTCCTTTGGTACACCTTAAATTTCTCAAGTGCGCCTTATAGGCAGATTAGAGTAGAACCTTAAAAATGTCCATGAAAATGTTGATCGCCCTAATGACCCTGCAAGCGATCGTCATACTGTCAAGTGGAGAGCAGGTACGAAATAATATATTTCTAAAAGGTACCCAAAACTTCATTATAGAATTCGGAATATGGAACTCTTATAAGAACCAAAAACTTTAAAAATATTGGTGGCCCAAAAGTAAAAACCGAAGCTGTTTATAAGGTCAAACTTTATTTATCAGTGATCTTTAGTTGCGGGCGAAGCGGCGACCGACTCGGCGCTCACTCACGCGGATGCGCCTCACGACACGACCGCCATCATCATCGCCATCGCGTTCCCTGCGGCGCCTCTCTCCTCCACCTCGTCGGATGATGACGATCCTCCTCCTGCGGTGCCTGCGGCGATGCCTTCTCCTGGTCGCCTCGGTGGTGGCGGCAGTGGTGGTGGTGGTGGTGGCGTCAGTGGTGGTGGTGGTGGTGGTGGTCGTGGTGGTCGCTGTGGTCGCGGTGTCGGATGTCGTGGAGGAGGAAGAGGGGTCACTGGTAGTTGCCTGCGATGACAGGGCAACCAGAGCGGCCAGGACGACCAGGGATAGCGCAAGAATAGGACGCATGTCGACTGCTCTTTAAACTTGGCTTTGGATTATGATTCTCCCATCCAATGGACCAACTTATATATAGCTGGGCATCTGGAGCTCTTGTTAATGCCAGTCCACCCGTTGTTTGCAGACCAAATATGTAACCTGCTCTGGGTTTTACCAGATCTGGATAGTTTTGGACTACAGTTTTCGTTGTTCTATTGTTATGGATACTAAATGTCTGTTTAATTAGTCTTAGCAATGAAACGTAGACAAAGATACATTATTTAACTTTTCATTTCTTGAAAACTATTCCCGGTTTTGGTACATAACGTTTTTTAACTGAATTCCAAATAAAAATCAAGACAAAGAACCATAGGAACAGAACAACGAAAACGTTAACCCAAAAAAAGGAAGAAAGCTATAGTCGAGTACCTCGACTATCAGATACCCGTTACTCAGCTAAAAGGACACAAGGGAAATGGAGATATGCAAGCAGCAAAGCGAGACTGAAATGCGCCACCTACCCCTGATCTCAATATATGGTTATGTGGGCGGTTGAGAGATTTAAGCGTTATGGGCGTTAGAGTGGGCGTGGCCAACTATTGTTGGGTCAATCGATAGGTATTGACGAAATTAATACATTTGACCTAAACATTTTTTTCTAGCATGAAAATTGTGGGCACCACAGGATTGGGCGGTTGTTGGGCGTTAGAGTGGGCGTGTCATATTCGCGTAACAGACTTGCGCTGCGCTCAAGGCTACGGAACCTAAATCTGAAATCCCAATTCTATATCTTTGATAGCTTCCGAGATATCCGCTAGAGTGGGCGTGGCAAACTTTTTTTGGGTCAATCGATAGGTTTTAATGAGAACAACACATTTCAGTTAAAATTTTTATTCTAGCATCAAAACGCTGCCGAAAAAAACATGCGCTGCGTAAGAAGCTCAGGAATCTGCATGCCATTAGTCTTCAAGAAATGAAAGGTTAAATAATGTATCTTCGTCTACATTTCATTGCTAAGACTAATTTAACAGACATTTAGTAACCATAACAATAGAACAACGAAAACTGTAGTCCAAAACTATCCAGATCTGGTAAAACCTAGAGCAGGTTACTTATTTGGTCTGCAAACAATGGGAGAACTGGCATTAACAAGAGCTCCAGATGCCCAGCTATATATAAGTTGGTCCATTGGATGGGAGAATCATAATCCAAAGCCAAGTTTAAAGAGCAGTCGACATGCGTCCTATTCTTGCGCTATCCCTGGTCGTCCTGGCCGCTCTGGTTGCCCTGTCATCGCAGGCAACTACCAGTGACCCCTCTTCCTCCTCCACGACATCCGACACCGCGACCACCGCGACCACCACGACCACCACAACCACCACCACCACGGACGCCACCACCACCACCACCACTGCCGCCACCACCGAGGCGACCAGGAGAAGGCATCGTCGCAGGCACCGCAGGAGGAGGATCGTCATCATCCGACGAGGTGGAGGAGAGAGGCGCCGCAGGGAACGCGATGGCGATGATGATGGCGGTCGTGTCGTGAGGCGCATCCGCGTGCGTGAACGCCGAGTCGGTCGACGCTTCGCCCGCAACTAAAGATCACTGATAAATAAAGTTTGACCTTATAAACAGCTTCGGTTTTTACTTTTGGGGCACCAATATTTTTAAAGTTTTAGGTTCTCATAAGAATACCTTATCCCAAGTTCCATAACGAAGAAGTGGGGACCTTTAAGAAATGTATTAGTTCGTAATCCTTTGGTCCAAATCCTTTTTATCTGCTTTCGACTTGACAATATAAGGGTCGCGACATCCTAGCCAGGAAACCCCAGGATAAGGGAGAAGATTAATAACGAACGCTTACTGGCTCACACCAACTGATGGGCAGCATCAAAAAATAACGAAACGTCGAAACTCGCGGGATCTACGGACAAGGGACATTATTTATCATGCGTCTTGAGGAAATAACAAAGTTTTGTCGCTGTTAAAGAATTGTCTAAGTATTCTATAATAATGTTATGTTTTATGTTACTTTGTCCTCTAAAACAACTGGGAGTTTAGTAACTGTTAATCAACCTTTAAAAATAAATATTTAAAAAAATACTATCTCTTGAATTTTAAAATTGTTCTACCTACGCACTATAGTTTCAATGATATAATAAGAATAATATTGTATAATACTGTTATATATAACAACCCTGCAAGCATTTTCTATCGCGGAAGGCACTATTAAGTGACTTCCCTGCAAGCATTTTCTATCGCGGAAGGCACTATTAAGTGACTTCAAGAAGATGAAAACGATCGTCCGCGATATCGCATTCGGATCGCGGAAGTGAGTCCCGTCGGGAAGAAATGTGCCACTTCGGCGACACTTCTCGAAGTCACTTCTGCGTTACTTCTGGAAGTGTCGCCGAAGTCACTTCTGGAAGTGTCGCCGAAGTCACTCATAGAAGTGCCGCCGAAGTGGCACATTTCTTCCCGACAGGAGTCACTTCCGCGATCCGATTGCGATATCGCCGAAGTAACTTCTAAAAGTCTCGCCGTAGTCACTTCTGGAAGTTACTCCGAAGTGACTTTACATTTGCTTGTAGAAGATATCTAGAAGAGTCTTTCCCAATTGGAAAAACTTGAATAAAAACATATTTTTTTATACTTTCAATATTTTGGTTTTATTTTGTGTATAAGTTGTTTGTCCGGTTGTATACACGGTCACTGGCATGCAGGAAATTTTGTGGTCAATGTTATTTAGGTCCAGCTCCGTCGACATAAGAAATTTATTAAAAACCATTTCTAAAGGAAACAGAAACAAAAATTATTTTTTGTTCAGTCAAAGTAAAAATAAACTAGAAGACATTACCTTTTACAATGAAATATGTTGAGAATCGTTGGATCCGCAGTTACACGCAAAGTAATGTCCACAGCTAGCTTGTCCGTAAATAGTCTCAGAAGTTACTTCTTCGCGATCCCGACCCTTTTTCTTTTGTAAAATGTGTACTATCGTATACCTATCGTCCGGAAGTGACTTAGAAGTTACTTCTACGCGACACATGTATATTTTGTTTTTGTAAAATGTGTTCTATCGCCGTTTTATCGCGCAGAAGTGTCTCAGAAGTTACTTCTTCGCGATCGCGACCCCGTTTGTTTTTGTAAAATGTGTTCTATCGTCTTTCTATCGTCCAGAAGTGACTTAGAAGTTACTTCTACGCGACACATGTATATTTTGTTTTTGTAAAATGTGCCCTATCGTCTTTCTATCGCGCAGAAGTTACTAAGAAGTGACTCCTGGACGACAGGCGATAGAAATATCGCCCTTTTGCTTGCAGGGAATAAGCCCTTTTTAAGCACCGGTCACTATTATGTTGATTGTAAAGTATTTTCCCTTTGTTTGGTGAATTTATTATACCCTTGAAGAGGTTAGAAGTCAGATGCTTGTAATAAAGTGAAGAGGACGTTCCTCGATCAGACGATCCTTGGCTATCTGCTTCAATACCGAATTCCCATCGTCATAACAGATCAAGTTTGATCAAACTTAAAAAATGACGTTGTTATTGTATTGTATTTTGAGCAAATTATCTAAGCTTTTTGCATACAAAGGTTTATTCTATTGCGGCGTGCCGAATCAGAAGCCGTAGATCTGATGTTTCTTATATGAAGCTGTTGAAACTATTTAATTGGTTTAATAACCCTAAAATAGAGTTTCAATACGCACATACAAAATTCAATGCTCAACCATTTTTATACCCGTTACTCGTAGAGTAAAAGGGTATACTAGATTCGTCGAAAAGTATGTAACAGGCAGAAGGAAGCGTTTCCGACCCCATAAAGTATATATATTCTTGATCAGGATCACTAGCCGAGTCGATCTAGCCATGTCCGTCTGTCCGTCTGTCCCTATGAACGCTGAGATCTCGGAAACTATACAAGCTACAATACTGGGATTAGGCATGCAGATTCCTGAGATTCCTGCGCAGCGCAAGTTTGTTTCAGCAGAGTGCCACGCCCACTCTAACGCCCAGAAACCGCCCAAAACGGTGGCTCCTACAGTTTTGATGCCAGAATAAAAATTTAAACTGAAATGTATTGTTCTCGTGATTACGTATCGATTGACCCCAAAAAGTTTGCCACGCCCACTTTAACGTCCACAAACCACCCAAGCCTCTGGCGCCCACAATTTTCATGCTAGATAAAATAATTTTAACTGAAATGTATTGTTCTCGTCAATACCTATCGTTTGATCCAAAAAAATTTGCCACACCCACTCTAACGCCCATAACGCTTAAATCTGTATACCGCCGGTAGGTGGCGCATTTCAATCTCGCTTTGCTGCTTGCATATCTCCATTTCCCTTTGGTCCCATTAGCTGAGTAACGGGTATCTGATAGTCGAGGTACTCGGATATAGCGTTCTTCCTTGTTGTTGCTATACTCGTATATAGGGCCATACCGCTTGAAGATTAAACAGAAATCGTTAGAGGGGTTTTTTAACAATAGAAAAAAACTATACAAAATTGATTTAAAAAAAACTTTTGGCTATAATTTTCAAACTATCGTACTTAAACAAATAACGTTAGGAAGTCGTGCGTTATAGCTTAATTCAGGTGTAATGAAAAAAGGCTAACGTAAAGACTAAATAAATAACCCAAACGTGTGGTAAATTTGTTGAAGTTTGTACACATTTGCATAACTGAGTGCTAAGTTAACATTCTGACTACCAACGTTTACTGTTAGTATTTAACAATAGAATTCTAGTCAATATCTGGGTAGAAAAGAGAACAAAATTTCTAATTAAACAATCCAACAGTAAATATAGCAAACTTGGCCCAAAAGTTAAACACGCGAATGCTGAAATAGGAAAATTTAGTTTGTTAGGCATGTTATTTCTAACATCAAATAATAAATCTTAAAATTTTCCACTCTCTTGACGCAGTAGTTCAGGCTGTAGGAGGCCTATAAATGGAGTGGAAATCGAATTAAGCCGAACACACTTCCTCTGGTACCTGCAATCGAATCACTTACAATATGAGGCTCCTTCTCGTACTTACTGTGCTCGTGGTGGCCATCTTCCTGACCTCCGTTCACTGCGCCTCCTCCGCCTCCGATACATCCGACACATCCGACGCATCCGACACATCCTTGGGATCGACAGAATATGATGAGTCTGACAGCTCCAGTGGTTCTGTCTCCGACTCGGAAATAGCCTCCACGACATCCACCACGACCACCACCACCACCACCACCACCACAAAAGCCCCTGTGACCCACAGGATTCATCGCCGAAGACGCCGCATCATCAGGAGAACCATACGGAGGCGAGAAGCCGAAGGGAGACGTCGACGTGGTTAAACCAAAAAAGTGGCTTAAAACAGAACAGTGTATGATCGTTTTACATACCAACCTTAACGGTCTAATAAAGGCATTTCACATTTTAAATCAAAGTTTTAACCAATTCTTATATTTATTTAATCTGCTCACATCGAGAGCTAAGATTTCCGAAACTATAAAAGCAAGAAGTTGGTATTAGGCAGGCAGATTCTAGAGATTCTTGCGCAGCTCAAGTTTCTTTCAGCCGAATGCAATGATCATAAATCGCGAAGAACTGTGCCGCCCACAGCTTGGATGCTGATGCATGAAAGTCTTAGTATAAATGCATTTGTTTTGTCAAAATTCAATCAATTGTCCTAAGAAATCGTACCATTCTGTGAGACACCCACATTTTTGAAGATTTTCTTTGAAATCGATTATATTTATCAATACCTATCCTTATCCGAGAATTTTAACAATCGCACTGTTGTTTAAAATGTTGAGTAACTTAGAATTGTTATAGAAGTGCCCTGGAACTTTGAAATTGGTAAACAGAGGAACGCGTAACTAATGGTCGAGGCACTCTGTTTTCTAAGGGTCAAATAAAATGGTATTTCTGTTTCTGGAAAATATGTTTCTGAACTACGGACTCCATACGTAAACAATTGAAATATTAAGCCCTAGATATTGCTGATATTAATAAAATAACCAGAACATACAAATAAAATAATTTTTGGATTTACTGAGATTTTATCAAAATTAAAAATAAATGTTTCGATGTTACGCATCACAATTTATTATTTTTATGTATTAGTTCATTTTTTTTTGGTTCACCGCAATGTAATTTAAAAACAAAAATTTAAATAAATGAAAGGAAGGGCGTCCGATTCACACCTACTTTAAGACATTCATCATTATTCTTTTGTGGCCGACTTTTCACATTATAATAGTAGTTCTGGTATTTGGTCAAGATGTACATTTTACAAGCAGCGGTATTTAAATCATTGGAAAAGTATCACGAAATTGCATTGTATTTATCGCAAAATGCCAATGGAGCTGTCCGTAGGTACGACTTTTAGGGTACGCAACGGATCGATTCATATAATATGTGGCTATTCATGCCCTGAATAAATGTATAGTATTAACATGTTTTTATTCGTTACGAATTACTAATGGGAGAAAAAAAGTAGGTAAAATTATGTATAATATATTTTTTTATATATGTATATAATATAGTTTAAGCTTTAATATCTTTAAATCTTAAGTTCCTTATCTACTTTTTAATCTGACGTAATTTTGTCGACTTCGATAAGCTCTTTATGAAAAAAGCTAAATCATCTGAAAAATTGTAGTAACAAGACAAAAAATTTTGCAAAAAAAAATTCAAACAAAAAAGTTGAAAGTGGAAAAAGAACAGGGACCTTGATAAAGAACACAATATAATAGTAAACAAGTGTTTAAAAAGTCTAGCTTTGTGATTGTAACTTGCAAGTCAGATATTGTCTTAAACTCTTTTGTTTTAAAAGAACACAGAGTGTTTTGCTCTCAGTTAGCAAATATGTAGATTAGGGCGGGTCGATTTGAACGGGGACAAGATAATTGGCGGGAACGTAATCTTTTAGGGATTTAAAACCAATATTAAGATCATAAATTTGCCAAGATTGCTTAGAACCCTTTAAAGAATAATTTTCGTCATAGGATTTTTGGGCACCCAATTCGACACACCCTAATGCACACACACAAAATAAACAGAACTTTAGTCTACTTATTGAGTCTTGGAGTTGGCTGACTTTATATTATAGGATAGACCTATAATTATAACTTTTAGGCGGCGAACAAGTCGATTGGGACTACGTAAAAGAAAATCATTGCGATTTGTGGGATATTATGAGATTTTGAACATCTTTAATTATACCCGTTACTAAGACCGCTTCGATATCAAAGGACGCCAGAAATGTAATAAGTCGTAAGGGGGAAAATAATCTAGGGATAATTCTGAGCAATATGGCCAAGGAAACTATACTATATCTTTAAAATCACGTTTCACCAGTATTATTTTTGGCAGTAATGATGGGTATTGATAATAAGAACAAAGCCTCATTTAAATTTTTACAAAATAATAAAAAATGTGGGCATGTTTTTTGTCATGCAGATGGGTTTTGATTATAAGGACAAATTATTTTACAAAATCTCAAGTAAAAGGGTACTATACGGGTTGTAGTGTTATAGTCGTTTGTGGGCGCTTACTCAGCTAACAAATCTTAAGCAAAAGCCAGTGTGTGGTCTTTTGTCCAAATTCACAATAATCCTACCTCTTACATACATTCCAACGAATACCAAATACACAAATAACAATTTGAAAACATTATCACACATCGCTAACATACATTTTTTAACGGTGTTCCAAAACAATTTAAATAATTATGGAAACCAATGTGTAAGTGTTTGAAAACTAACTAATACAGCAAATATATAGGATTTCTTCCCGCATGCTTTTGACATAGTGGTAGTTTCTTCTTTTGAATACTCTGAATCTCCAGGTTCTGGTACGTTTTCGTTGTACTTGCCACGCACATTGCCAGGTGGAGAATACCTAACGACCATTATTTTCCTTAAATTTTTAGTCCTGTAAATAAATTAGTTGATTGGCAGACATTGACATAAAGCAGTACTTACCCTGGGTATTTTGGAGCTATACCCACTCCCATTTCTTTAGATGATTTCCATATGAGTGCAGTGTATTTATCAGTAAGAGCTTTTTCCATATCCGTTAGCGTATCCGCATCCGTATTTGTATCCGTGTCGTCACGCGGATCATATGAATCTTTTCCCATATCATACCACTCGCTAACACAAGATCTGAAACTAAACTCGCATATATTTTCTATATAATGGATTTTCTTTTCATCCGATATGGGATAAGCTATGTGATCCTTGAACTTGGCACGGTCTACTCTATCATCAGTCAGATACTCGAATAATTGTTGGTCTGGGATATTCAATGTAGCTAGATGCTTTGGGAGAAGATTATTAGGTTCGCAAAAAAAGGAAAAATGTTACTTACCTTTGCATAATCTTCGCAATCTTTACTCAGCTTTTTAGACAAGGATAATTTTGGCACACCATCCGATTCTCTAAGGTCATTGTGCTCTTTCCAAACAGATTTCGCTGTCACAATATCGCCCAAACAAATACAGTTGAGCTGAAGAAAAGGATATTTTCTAAATCGTCAAAACTTTCATTTTGACTTACCTTAAAGACAGCCAAAAATAGAACGACAATTTTGTACGGATACATAGTTTATGGAAAAAAACGTAGAATTTGCGGCTGGTTACTTGAAATGAAATATTTGGAAATGTTACTAGATAGGTACTTAACAAATGAATAACAAAACATGACTACTAATAAAAAAACCATGAGCTCACTTAAACATCACTGTAATTTTGCAGATATTTTTATACCCCTTACTTGTAAAATAAAAGGTTACGCTAGATTCCTTGATACGTATGTAACAGGTAGAAAGCGTTTCCGACCCTATGAATTATATATATTTTTGATCAGGATGTCAGTCCGTACCTCTGTCCGTCCGTATGAACGCTGCGATCTTGGAGAATAAACAGCTAGAAAAGTTGAATTAGGGATGCAGATTCTTGGGCTTCTTGCGCTGCGTAAGTTTAATTCAGCAGAGTGCCACGACCACTCTTACGCCCATAACGCTAAAACCTGTCTAGCACCAACAATATTTCATACATTGTAAAGGTGTAAATCGGATTTTGTTTGACTATCAATACCCATATATGTACATGCCAAAAAGTGTTTAAAATGGGCCATTTATTAAAATAACAAGGAAACAGTCGATTTGCAGCATGCTTATCTCCATCTCCATCGCACTCCCTTAGATGAGTAATGGCTATCTAATAGTCGAGGTCGGCGTTCTCTCTTGTTTTTTGTTGCTCCTCAAGAAACGGTCTAAACAGTCTAAATCCCCGAAAAAATGTACTTTAAAATATTCTGTAGTAGTAGTATTAATCGCAGGTGGTCGCAATCTTATTTGGTTTTCAGAATATAGGATTTTACAATAGCAAATTTGTCAAAAATCTTCCACGATATTCCGAAATTTTAATTCGCAATTTTGCAAAAGCTGGAAAAATCCAGAGCGCTTAACATATTAACAAGCGAGATCTGGCATGGCTCCAGTTGCCCCAACTATAAATAGCTGGGTCCAGTGGCTGGTGGAATCAGAATCCCAAGTCCAGACGAAAGAGAAGTGGCCATGCGTCCTGTTCTTGCGCTATCCCTGGTCTTGCTGGTCGTCCTGGCCACTCTGGTTGACCAGTCGTCGCCGGCAACTTCGACCGCTACCACCACCACCACCACCACTACCGAGAAGTCCTCAAAGAAAAAGAAGGAGGAGGAGCGCCGAAGGAAGGAGGCGGCGCTTAAGGAAGGAGGAGGCGCGCAGAACCAGAGGCCGCCAGGACAGAAGTGTCAGTCGTATTACAAGGCGATTCCGCGTTCAAAAGCGCCGATACAGAGGCTAGTAAAAACACCCCAAAAATAAACTTTGAACTCAGAAAATTATATTTTTACCTATTTATATTATTATTATATTAGGGTGATTCAATAAAATTTACATTAACTCTCAATTTCCATTTGGTAGATTTTGGTGACCAACAAGTTATTCGCAATGGTCTAAAACTTAATACGTCCAGATAGAATGTATTCCAAAAACTCTTTTTCGCACAGCGAAGCGTTTTAACTTGTTGCAAAGGCGATAGCAAACCGCAAATATTTTATGGGAGTCTTCGAGACCTAGAGTATAATATACTTATTATCAAAGGCAACAGTACGTATGAGTGATAAACTTTGAAACCCTTAAAAGTATTTTTCTCAACAAATGTATTTTGGTATACCCTAAATGCCTTAATGGGCGCCGTACTTTCCATTTAAATGGAATAAGCACCTGATTCAGAGATTTTTGAATTTTCCCTAAAATCAAACTGGTCTAAGAATTCGCGAACCAAACGAGACGGGTTAGTTTTAATTATTATTATTCGCAGAGTGAACTGGGACTACTTAGCTGGGTTCTCAATACGGAACCTAAATAGCCTTATCAATTCTATGTCCTGCTCCCTGCCATTCAGTGTTACGTTCGGCAAGTTCTAATCATTTTAAAGTGAATCGAGAGATAAAATATAACTAATTCATTTTGTATTAAATTCCATTAAAATCTGACACAGAAAATAAAGCTTGACTTTAGACACCAATTAAGATGCAGTCATAAAATGCTAAGTAAAAATCCCAGACCTTACCCAACGTTTATGCTCCAGCGACATGTAATTAAATTTGGGGGGAAAATATCAACGCATCAGCGGAGCGATCATGGTCAAAATTCGTATATAAGAGGCGAATGTTGGAGTCCAGCTTAATCAGTCGGATCTGGAAACACTTAGATGGCGTCCGATAGCAATAATACGAAAATTGGCAACTATTCGTATCCGTTTGCGGACTTGGCGGATGAGCGGACGCGGAATTGGCCACTGGTTGAGTCGCCTTGGAACGTACCCGCCCTGCTGGCCCTCTATTTGCTGATGGTGGCCTACGGGCCCAAGTGGACAGCCAGGTGAGGTCGCGGTCAACCACACAACCCAACCAGCCAGCCATTACAAACGCCCACCGGCCACCCGGACTCTCAGGTACAAGCCGCTGCAGTTGAGGGTGCCCTTGTTTTGCCACAGTTTAGCCATGGCCTTCCTAAATGCCTATATCTGTCTGGAACTCTTCACGGCAACGCGAGCCCTCGACTATAGCCTCAGCTGTCAGCCGTGTCGGGTGAGCTATAGCCCACATGAAATGCGGGTAAGTTGATGCTAAAAAATTAATCAAAGTTATGAACTACAAATTTAAAACAGATTGCCGCGGCCTTTTGGTGGTTTTACATCTCAAAAATACTGGAATTCGCCGACACGGCTTTCTTTATCCTGCGCCACAAGTGGACGCAGCTGAGCTTCCTGCATGTGTACCACCACAGCACCATGTTTGTCTTCTGCTGGATCTTCGTCAAGTGGTTGCCGACGGGTTCGAGTGAGTCCCTGCCCTTGAATATCCAGTTCCATTGTGGTTTATCACTTATCCCTCAAACAGCTTATGTACCAACTATGATTAACTCCTTCGTTCACATCATAATGTACAGCTATTATGCTCTGAGTGTACTGGGTCCTCGCATTCAGAAGTTTCTCTGGTGGAAGCGCTACTTAACTGGCCTCCAGCTGCTGCAGTTTACCACAGTCTTGTTGTGGGCATCACAGCTGGTTCTCCGAGGCTGCGAGTACGGAACCTGGCTAACCCCAGTTGGAGCAGCCTATATGGTTCCATTTCTATATATGTTCGGTAGATTCTATGTAGAAAAATACAAGGCATCCACAGCCGCCAAGAAAGCTGAGTAAACTAAATTAAAATTTGTTAACAACAAAAGTCTTTCTTCGTCTTATTCTCAAGAAACAAATTGTTTTAGAGACGAAGAATGACTCCAGTGTGTTAAAATAACAAATGTTAGGTTTCTATGAAAATATGATTTGTTTATAGCTTCAACGTGACACTTTCAGTGGTTATAGCATTGTATATAAAAGTATTATCGATGGGCTTGTATTGTTTGGTAATGATCTTGATCACCTCCTGGGCAGCACAGCCACCTGAAAAGGGTTAAAAAAAATATAACATCGAATTAACATTAGTACGGAAGCTATTTACCTATGAAAGCCGAGACCGCATGCAACTCGGCTCCGCCGTATCGACAAATCTCGTGCAGCACATCGTCGCTGATGGTGGCATGCATGCCCAAATCGCCCAGCATTTTGGCGGCAATGCTCTTCAAGCGTCCAATGTCCTGCTCCACGATGCACTCGCCGGGAATGTTGCCGCACTCACTGAGGAAACGCTCATACGCACGAAGAGCAAAATTGTAGGCGGTTAGATTGCCTTGCAGCTCGTTGTCCTCAACTAGAAGGCATACTTTGGGTGTTAAAGGGGATTCTACAATATAAAAAGACCCTAACCTAGTTGCAGCAGGCGACTGCTCTTCTCGTATTCCTCCGCAATGCGAGTGCCCCTTATGACCGCCAATCCGGCCGCTTCCCGGCAAATCAGCCGCACACTTCTCTCATCAATGCTGTCGGCGGGCAGGGCCAACTGCTTGAGGTAGTCCTGGCACTTGTGGTACACCTGGTCGGCATCCTGCAGCGCCTGTTGCCGGTAGACGTGCTGCAGGGCGATGTACGAGTCCGTGTTGGCCGTCATGTCGGGCAGAACGCCAGGCAGCGGCAGATGGCCCCCGTTCTCATGTATCACGAAGTGCTTTAGGGCCTTGGCCATGATCCAGAAGACGCTGCTCTGTAAATACAAAAGAAGTCTTTAAGTATATGTAGGTGTGTAGATATAATCAAAGGCCACCTTCTTGTTAAGCTGTTCACAGGCATCATCCTCGAAAATGGCTTTGAGGCTCTTGGAAACCTGGCCCGCTCCAAATGCCGTATTGACCGCCTTGATGGCCTCTTCGTGGTTCTCCTCATCCGCCTTCATCTCCTCCCTGATTGTCTCCCTCAACTGGTTTTTCTCCTTGTAATTTCGTGGCGTTTGGGTCCCGTCCGCCTGTTGCTTCTGCCAGACATTCAGGTACTTGTGGAGCACCAGTAACCAGGGCACCTTGCTGGTCACTTCGGTGCCTTCAAGGTGCTCCCGCAGAGCATCAAACGGATGCTCCAGACGCAGATCGAACTGCCTGTTATCCGGATGCGCCTCTACGATGCAGTGCTCCCGTATTTGCAGGCGAATGGTGCCCAGCATCCCCAGGGATCGGCAGTATATGAATGGCACATTGACCTCCCACAAACGTTCGGCTAGAAGGAGCAAAGTCTGCTCATTCAGATTGGAGGCGATCACCAAGTCGAAGCTGTCGAAGAAGTTGGGCCTGTTGCCCAATATATAGTCGGCACTCTCGTCCACATAATCGCCGTTTACATCTGGATTGAGCTCCTGGAGGAGCTGCATGCAGGCAAAAGCCTTGGATTTGCCCAGATAGCTGGAGTCCAGGAAGAAACTGGGGGATAAATGGTTTAGATTAATGTGCAAGGGTTATGGGGTATACCACCTACTTGTTGCCCAGATCCTCCTCCTTGACGGTGCTTCCATCGGCCACCGTGAAGCCTCCGATGCCAGGTAGGACCAATCCTTTCACAGTTTCACAGCCCACGGCCGTAACATTCACCAAACAGATTGTGGCCGCCTCCAAAAGCATCTGTCCATGCTCGCCCCACAGCCTAAACAGCACTCATGAAGGTAATTAGCGTTCTCTTATTCAACTATATGGGACCCACCTGATTTGTCTATCATATTTCTTGCTTTTATCCGAAAGTTCCGGTGATTTGGGCGCTGGCGAAGACATTTTGCCGAGACGAGATTTTTGTGCAAAATAAGCCGGTTGCTTTAGAGGGCTTTTCAACACTTCTTGCCAATAAAAAGTGTTGTAAAGCGCTGGCAGCTGATTTTTCTGAACAATTTGATTATTCGGTCTGTTATTGAAATAACACTTGCAATTTAAACTCTTGCTTATTCAAAACATTTATTGACTGTTACGTATTACATTCCATTTAATTTTATTGCATTAGACTACATCTACGTACAAGAAATCAGTCTTTACAAATAAATTGTATAAACAGTTGATAAATAATAAAACAAAGTCTGAGCAAACCGAAAAATAGGTGTCTTGTTGTTGACAGTTTTTTTGAATAACATTTCAAGGCTATTTTGAATTTAGTTTTTCAAATAATTTAATAATACCGCGAACTGGTTGTTTGCTGGGCAGTGTACGCCGCGCGCTTTCCAACACTGCGGGGGCAAGTGAACAGCTGTTCGTTTTTCGTGTAATTTCACAACAAAACAACATCTGCGTCGCTGCGTTTCCTGCAGCATTTTTGTTAGTTTCAAAACAAATTTAAACTAAATACAGATCAGAATTATCACGGAGAGGATGCCGGCCAAGAGGAGGACTGCAAGTGCGGCGTCGACCAGCAAAAATAGCGATTCCCCGTTGAGTCCACGGTCAGACGATCCAGCGTACCAAGAAAAGAGAAAGAAAAACAATGAGGTATGTAAGTTTTAGGATGTAAACAGAGAGCTGGCCAGATGGCCGATAAATAGAGATTGGGAAACATGTTGCTGGCACTGGCGGCCCCCAGAAGTCCCCAAAAATAGATGCCCACTATTGATTTATTATTATTCTCGGAACAGGCTGTACAGCGCACACGCGAAAAGACCAAGAAATCGGCCGAGGAACGGAAGAAACGCATCGACGAGCTGAGAAAGCAAAACGACGCCCTAAAAGTCCAGATAGAGCAGGGCGAAAAGCATATATCCACTCTGAGAGATCTGATCATTCAGGGCGAGAAAACGGAGGACGGCCACCGCATCATCCAGGAGATTCTCGCCGGACCGGATCCAGATGACAATGACTAACGAGGAGCTGCTGCTGATTTACTTTATAATATTTACGTACTTTTAAGCCGTTTTTACTACCATGTTAGTCTTAACTGTTCTACTAATTCGGTATAGCTTCTCGAATTCCATTAACATTTTTTATGTATGATCTGCTCATAACTTCCATTGGTAACCAATTCATTAGAACTGGCGGAATGTTAAATGACAAAATGACACCCACATATTTTAAATTAATTTGGAGCATTGAAGAACAAAACATGTTAAAAACTTCAAAACCACATAAAATAAAGTAATTATAATAAATAAGTGCAATGTTTTTTACTATAAAGCTATTTTATACTCAAATTTAAAATGTGTTCCCTTTTTGCAAGCTTTATACGAATATTCCAATTCGAAACATGACTAAATGTGGTTTTGATTCACCATTTAATGATAACAATTTATTTTTGTTTGTATTTTTCATTAAATTTGAGTGTAAGTCACACAAAGAAAATTATTAAGATTTTACCCCTATATTCGATATAATATTGGATAACAAAGACTTATCAGTACCAACGTGTGGGGTGGCACCAACAACCCACAACTAAATCTTTCCTTATCAGTTGATAAATGATTGTTTACGAAAACTCAAGAAGTAATATTGTACCGAAATAGCCACTTAAGCCCTAATATCATCCCATAGCTCATCGTTTCCTATCAGAACTAGCAAATACACAACAAATTGAACTACTTTTAAGTAGAATTTCCGGGAAAGCACATACTAACCGTCGTAAACGTCCAGCTTTTCCATGTGCAGGCTGAAGACCTCGTCCATTTTCGAGCTATTAAACTAGAACTAGAACTAGTGTGAGAATATCGTAGTGCCTATAAGATTCGGGTGTCCCGTTAAGTCTTGCTCTCTTTGCTATTGCTGCAGGCGCTGCTTCCGTCTCTTTGCTTCTTCCGCCGCTCCCAAAACATTGATTTATTGCACTTTTAGCACATTCATTTGATGAACGGCAATTCGACGGCGATTTAATTTGGGGTTTTGGCGTGTCGTGTCGAAATAGAAGTTGGATTGTGGCGTTTTTTTTCGCGTTCAATAAATTGCCGTCTTCCGCTAATTAGCACACCACCCGCACACTGATTTCCGATCCGATTTCAATTTGAAGTTGCTCACATAGCACGAGGCAAAAACTAGAATGTTGTGTCAGTTTTTTGGAGCGTTGCTTTGTTGTATCTGGCTGGTCGGCCGCCGAGCGTTTATTTCCTTATTTTTTATTTATAATTTCACGTAACTTATTTTGGTTGTTTTGGTCTCTGTCTCTCGCTCGCTCTTTCGCTGTAAGGCCAAGGCTTGCTCGCTCGCTCTTTCCCCTCTCTTTGGGTCAGTGTTGTAAAGTAAGCAAAGAGAAACAGCTGATTCTGTAGTCGTTTGATTTTTGAAATGTTTTTTTAGGAACATCTTTAAAGAATATAACTTAAATAGTTTTATTGCAACTTTCCAAGCATATTTTCCCTTTCAGTAAACTCTACTGCTTGAGAAATTCTTGTAAAAGTTTAAGTCTAACTATAATGTGACCGTACTCCATGTGGAGTTTTATTAACCAAAAGCCCAGGCCACACTTAACATTTTTAAATTTGAAACTTAAATTCAAAAAGCGATGGTTAACTAAAAAAGTATTACAGAACAAACAAAACATTACCGCTATTAAATAATCATAAAACAAACTCAAGCTCTAATCAATATTTGACAACAGTGCCTTTTCAAACGTTATTAACCCCAAAAATACAAAAGAAATAGTCAAGACTACAAAAGATATACTTTTAAATAATGCTACAAAATTTAGTTTAGTAATAATGCTGTTGCCCTTAAAGAACTATCAGTCCGCCGAAGACGACGCGAACCCGAATGTAACCCTTCTTAAACGCCAGATAGCTGAGAATGGAACTAAAACACAGGCGCTGTTGCTTCAGGCGTTCCGCTTCGAGTTGCCTAATGACGCCAATGCGTACCCGGTCCTCCAGGATCAGCTCCAGCGAAAGCCAGTCGGCAGAAGTCACTAAACCTGGTATAGAATCCATAACTTCCCCTACAACATCCAATACCCTGGGGAAACCGAAAAAGTCCAAGGGACTATTTTCATTTTTGTTTGGAAAACGAGTCCGTAAGTCCAAGAAGGAGGACCTTTTAAGGAGCCACAACTCTTCTTTCGAGGAACAAGATGTTAGGAAGCTAATTCGTCTCTACTGCAAACATGACAACCTGTACAACCCAAAAAACCTCTACTTTGGTAACAAAGAAATCGATGAGGATTGCTATAACGATATGATGCGCTCTTTTCCGGGAAAAAGCAGTTCTCAACTGAGATCCTGTATCGAAGAGTTAAGGATTCTGTTCGAGCGGGAATATACCATTATTGAAAGAGCAAGGAGGAAATACGGTGAAATATTGCCGCCCTCCATTCGCTACTACAACGAGTTTCTTTTTTTGGTGCCCCATATCCGCAACGATTTCGATAGTGGAACCAGTTTGCTGTCTTCCAGAATACTTCCTTCCACGGATCTTAAAAACCAGATGGTCACCACGGAGATGTTGTGCCAGAAACTTACTAACTTTCCTGGTTTTCCTTTAGCTGCGTTTCCCGGAAACGTTTTACTGAAGAGGCTTAAAAAAACTAATAGACAAGGTGAAACCCGGGAGGCTCAGGAGGTGGATCAGAAAGAAGACCAGATCACCGAGCAGGAGAGTCTAGAGAAAGAAAAACCCAGTGAGCATAAAGATGAGGTGAAGGAAAATATCACTGAGCAAAAAGTTGAGGTGATGGAAAAAACCAGTGAACACGAAAGTCAAGTGAAGGATCAGGAGGATCAGCAGCAGAAGGTCACCTTTTCCCCTTCCTCGGAGCAGAAATCCATCGATTACAGTGAAGAAGGATCCCAGCAAAATAAAACCACCTCCAATATATCCACCCAATCGTCGTACTACGTCAATGAGCAGAATCTGAAAACCACCGACTTGACCTGCTCCTGTCGATCGGAAACATTGGATTCCCCTCAAAAACCAGTGGCCTGCCCTTGGCGACCGGAAAACACGCCGTGTGTGCCCAAATGTCGAGGAGCAGTTTCAAGTTCTACCCACAGATATATTGCATGCCCCTGGCAACCGCAAAATGCACCTCCCGTGTCCGAAACTAAAGTAGATCCCACGGAATCCTGTCCAAAATCGGATGCCTTGGACGAAACGAAGCCCTCTACTCAGTCTGGGAATAGTCAGCAAGTGCAGATGCTTTGCGATATGATACGAACCGAACTGAGCACTGCTCCTGATTTTATATACTTCGATGCCAAGTGGCGGATCATAGAGATCTTGAGGGAGGTGCACAAGCGGCAGTTGGTTCATCAGAAAGCCATGCCGCAGCACAATCCCCACCGACCGATACCGCCACAAAAACGAATCTGTGGAGAACCTAATGTCATGCCCAAAAATCAGAAATACAAATCGGATAGAAACCCCCAAGAAAAAGGATCCCCGCGGATTTGCGATCAAATCAAGTGCCCGTACTGCTGCCGGAACAACTGAAACAGAACTGAATACCCATACTTTACTATCAGTAATAACTCTGACCCACTTAATTAGAGATAAGCCACTAGAGAGAAAACAAAACACTTTCTCTCAGACGCAAAAGCAGTTACACATTAGAGCACCATGGAAATGGACGACCTGATCAGCAGTTCCAAGCTGCTTAAACATTGGCCAAGTTTTCTGTTCTGTTTTGGACTGGTTTGGATCATTAAAAAAGCCTTTTATGAGAGGAATCGAGAACCCCAAAGATATACTTTGAAGGAGCCAGTCGAGGAGGGTAAGTTTTCTGCTCAAAGTAACTAATTACTTATTATATCAACAAATATTTTTTGAATTCATCATTTTGCAGTTGAAGATTGGGAAGATCACGATGATGAACTGCAGCCTGCCCTGGAGGAGAAGCCCCATGTGGCCTTTGTCCCCGGTGAGAATCTTAATCCAAATGGAGCAGATCGCTTCTATAAGCTGATTCAAGGACGTCGCAGCATTCGCTCCTTCAAAAGTCATCCCAAACCAGATCTTAGCGTTATAGAGGACTGCATCCGAGCAGCGGGAACAGCTCCCAGTGGAGCACATACGGAACCTTGGACTTACTGCGTTGTGGAGAACGCGGACATCAAGCAAACCATTCGGGAAATTGTGGAGCAGGAGGAGTTCATCAACTACAGCCAGCGGATGCATCTGCAGTGGGTCACCGACCTTCGACCCCTGCAAACCAACCACGTTAAGGAGTACCTCACAGATGCCCCGTATCTTATATTGATTTTTAAGCAGACCTATGGACTAACGGGGACCGGAAAGCGGAAGAGGCACTACTACAATGAGATATCGACTTCGATTTCGGCTGGGATCCTTCTGTGTGCCCTTCAAGCTGCAGGACTTTCATCTCTGGTCACAACTCCCTTGAACTGCGGTACTGCTCTAAGAAACCTCCTCCAGCGCCCCGTAAATGAAAAATTACTCATTCTATTGGCCGTTGGGTATCCAAAAGACGACTGCACAGTGCCGGATCTGGAGAGGAAGAACTTGTCGGACTTTATGATTACATTTTAAGGTTCATTTACGTCTCAGCAATTTACAAAATAGTGCAATAAAGATAAACAGAATTTCTGGTCACTTTGAAAAGTTCGGATTTGCTGGATTGTTGTTTCTTATCATCTTAAAAAATGTATTTCATTATTTTCTTATCATAATTATCCTATGATTATAAAACTCAAACAACATTTATTTAAATATTTTTAAATCCCATGATAACGATAGTTTCCGCCATCCCTGAATACCGATAGCCGACCCTTTATCAACACCACTCCGCGTGCCATTGCCCAACACTACCGATAGCGATAACAAAAAGTGACACAAAAGCAAAGGGAAAATTTCTGCCATCGGTTCGGTGTTCAAATTCCAAAAAGCCAGCTATCCGGTGTTAGCCGTGCAAGGCCCCCGCGTTGGTCACTATATTGTAATATAATATAACCATATTACACATCCGATTGAGCGGAAATCGCGGCGATTGCACTCAAGGTGGCCCGTAGCTAATAAGTGTTCACGAATGAGAGCAAAGCAGATGGCGGAGAGCGTCCCGCGCTTCAGTGTGTGTGTGCGTGAACGAGTAGAAAGCGGCGGTAAAAACCTTCGCGTGTAACCAACAAAAAAAAAACACAATCTCAATATCAGAAAGATAATATATTACCTATTGAAAAGTAGGTTCTAAAACTACGCAGGGAAATTGGAAAATCCATTGGAAAGCAAGAGCAACAGTCGCCGAGGAGCGGAATCTGCGGACGAAAACAAAAACGCTTTAAAAACGCAGTCGCCGATACAGAAAGTGCCAGCGTGTGCGTGTGCATATGTGTACGTAGTTGTGGGCAAAGAGAACGGTGAAGAAGACAGAAAAAAAAACTAACTGTGGCAGTGGAAAATGCGCGGCTGATAAAGATTGTGATAATCACACAGAATATAATAAAGTGGAAAAGAAACCGCAAAACAAAATTGGTTGAATAATATTTAAGCCAACGCCAGTGCTGCAAAAATCGGGCCGCATTATCATCATCGGAACATTCAGTGTTGCACATCGCTGCCGCCCCACGCATAATCCAACACTTCCCCCCCACCCACACACACACTTGGATTTGGATTCCTACGTCTGCATTTTAATATTGCGCTTATTTTCACTGGCGAGGTGAGTCGCAGTCGTGTTATATTCCATTCGAAGAAGGATTTCCCAATCCAATTGCCCGCCAATAGCGGGAAAAGTGCTCCCGCCTGCGCTGAAACTGTACCATATTGTGGACGAAGAATGAGAAGGGGAATGGGAATGGAAGTGTCCAAAGGCATGTGGAGGGTACGGGAAACATTGCCTAAATAGAACACACAGCTCAGTTCAAACCAGCAGTTGCAAAAAAATTGTACTAATAAGTAATAATTATATATTTAAATTTATTGTTGAATTAAATAAAATGTGTTGTTATCGATTCTTTTATTTTAAATGTTTTATGCTGTGCATTTACGAGGTAGTACTGTATGCATTATTTAGATATTTTATTTTATAACCAAGCTAACAAAAAATCTTGAGATAGCTTATATCGATATGAAGAACACAATAACACATAAAAAAATTAGTAGCAAGAATGGGGAAAGACAATAAAAATATTTATTTTTAATGTATTTTTTACTTTTATTTATTTCATTTTATAATAAAATATATATTTAAAACTTGAAAACTAAGTTTAAATGAAACATTTATGCTTTCTTGGTCTTGTTTATAATATTTTTTATAACACTAAAGAACAGGACTCTATAGTCTAGACTGACAATAAGAATTTATCAACGTTTTTGTTAATAATACATACATTGCAACTTGCAGTCACTTGTGTATGCTTAGAAGGGCCTTGAAATGAAGTATCGTAAGTTTAACTTTAATGAAATTAAATTGTTGTTTTCTTAATTTGTATTTTGCATTACTAAAGCAACTTGTAATAAACATTTGTTTGAAAAAGTTGTCAACAAAGTATATTTCTAGCAAAAACCAAAGCAAAACGATCTTTTAGTACTTGAAAACAATTTTCATCCTTTTTCATGGTCTCCCCTTATGCGATGGCTGTACGTGTCGTGATCTATAGTAGAACCCCCTTTCCTTCCACAACACTATCAATAAAAACTCTCTTCTTACTTTCAGCTTAACAATGCGACACGATCATCAATTGGACATTTTTAATTTTTTTTGTTAATTGTTAAATATTGTTTTGACTACGTAAAGTGTACGTAGAGGAATAAAAAAGTCTTGGGATCTCGGAGACAGGAAAACAAGTATAATTCAGCCATGAGTCGCTTGCAGAAGCCACATTACGAGATCTTGAGCAGCGGCACAAGCAAGTCGCGTCGCAAGAATCAGAACAATCCCCGTGAATTGGGGTCACCAACCTTGGAGGAGCAGGATCAGGTGGTGCGTAATCATATAAACGGTCACGTCATGGCCAATGGCAATGGAAAAAAGCGAAAGAATAGTAAATCCGAAACGTTGACTAACGGCAAAAAGTCCAAACTGAATCAGGAGGGTTCTGGTTCGGGATCTGGCAAAACCCTGGTCTATAACAATAATAATAACAACAACAACAGCATCAGTGCCACCAATGGTCAGTACAACAAGAGCAGCAGTAAGACCACACCGACATCTGGAAGGGATTACAATTACCGGGAGACCATATCGCCGCCAACACCTCCATCTCCGCCATCCGCAAATGTAGCGGAGATTGTTTGCATCTCGGATGCGGAGAGCGACGATGATCGCGATCAGGAGCGAGACTACTACGACCACGATACGGAGGAGGAGGAGCCAAGCGGGATAGGTATCGGCGATTCTCCCATCAAATCCAAGACCAAGTCCAACAACGCAGCTGCAGCGGCGGCGGCTGCAGCAGCGGCAGCAGCAGCATCGGTGGCCACGTCGTCGGCCACGCCCTCCTACGCCATGCCCACCAGCAATAGTACGCCCCTGGACCTGGACAATGAGGCGCATCAGCGAGACCTGGAGACGGTCACCGATCTGAGATCCTATGGTGAGTCATCAAACCCTGGGAATTTCCCTTTAAAAATATAAGCTAAAACCAAACTCCACTGCAAATACAAGCCACTTATAAAGAAAGAACGCCACGGGCAGGTCAGGTTATGTATTTTTGAACTGGTAAAGAATAGTTCAAACTGCTGATTTCACCTTCTTTTTATCACATTAACTTCTTCAAAACTAACAATAAAAGGCTTCAAAATGTTGCTTTACAAGTTTTCTAAAGATATCCTAAAAAAATGTTAATTTTTTATTGAACTTTTTCTTGTAATATTATAAGGTAAAGTCTTCGTTTTGGTCGCTTAAATTAGTAATAGAGCGAACTCAAATTCACAATTAAATAATTATAACTATCTATAACTTAACGTTTTACGCTGGCAGTTTGAGTAAAAGTGTTTCGTAATAGTATTTCTTTAGATCAAACTGACTATCCTTAGCTTAGCACATTTGAGTATTATCCAAAATTCAACCTTGTAATAATAATAAAATACTTTGTAAACAAACGTTGGTTAACAAAGATAGTAGTACACCGACAAGGCGTGAAATATTTGATAACTTTAGCCGGGGATGTCTCAAGGTTTGATTAAAAAGGAGGCAGAGGGGATGGCATTTGGTCAATGCCAGATGGAGTGCCGTCTCTGGCGTCCTTTGTAAAAGTGGAGCACATGCATTCAACCTTGACACGATTACCCAGAAAACTCAACCCGGCTTTGTTCGCTCTTCAGGCCAAATCCAAAACTACTGACCTCCCCTGAAATCGCCCAACCTCCCCGCCTGCGTACTCACCTCTCACCATACCATATACATAAAGCAGACACAATACCCACCACCCGAAAGACTCATTTGCTAACTGTGGGACGAAAACCTATTTATATCTGAGGAACTTGTTAGCCATGTGTTAGGTCTAACACCTTTCTATTGTGTTCTATTGTTTCTTAAGTAAAGTGCACTTACACTGCACAACTTATTTTCCTTTATCACATAGCTCTTAAATGGGATCTTTGTGGGAAGTAACAAATTTTAGAATTTTTACCTTTCACAATTTTTTTCAAAATATATTTTTCGAGACCCACAAATAGTTTTCTTTGTACTGTGTTTCAAAGTGTGTACAATCCAACCTATATTATTTGGGATCTCAAAGTCGAAGTACTCATTTTCAAACGTAAAATTGTTTTATATATTAAATATCAAACTACCAAAATATATAAATATGTGACCAGTTGATTATAAAAGTCTTTCCATTAACAAGTTTTAATATAAGCTTATATTTCGACCCACCGTACTGCTATTCGACATCGTCGTGCAGTCGTGACCATGTCTATACGTCCATATGTATGTGCATCGTTGTTGTTTGTGCGCGTTTGCTGTAGTCACAAACATACTTGTTTGCATAAACTGTTGGTTGTTGTTTGTAGGCAGTTTATTTACTTGAACTTGACAATGCAACTCGCCGAACATCGAGCATAGATATGTGTCTCTATAGGTATGTTCATAGATGAAGGAACGAGTTATCTGGGATAATTGCCCGCGAATTGATAGGTGAGCTGTGTTTGCTTGGGGTTTAATTATCACAAAAACACTGTCACGGCAACTGGGCAGTGCCACACGTGCTATCATAACTTACTCGTTTTTCGAAAATAATGCACAGAGGGAAATTTTGTAAACAATGATAAAGTTTATGATAATCGCTCTATTAAAGATAGATCTTCATTCTAAAATAATCTAGCAATTTTGAATTGAAGAATAAAACAACGGTTAATATATGTACCATAAGGCATTATTTACCAAATATAAGGAAAAAATGGATTTTTTCTGTGTAGTTATTACCCTTTATAGAACACAATAAAAGGCCTTTACAAAATTATAATCAGCAAAATTACGCGAAGTCAGTTATTTCTCGTGTGCCAACTTGCACTTGACACTGAAAGTTTAAAAAAAAAATGAATATGTTGCTATCAAAACAGTCTCCACTTGTTGCGGCTGGTATTATTCATATTCTTTCGGTTGCGTTCGTTAAACTTTGCCTAGTCACAAGCGAGAAATACATTTTTTTGGGGTTATTCGGTTTAAGAACCTGGCAAGAAAATATAATACATATCAAGGCCAATGTATTTCTCGACGTCAGAAGCGTCCAAACAAGTCGATTTCAAAAAGCATACGAATAATTCGCACTTGGGTTTAATAATGCCTAAAATGTGTCATTTAATAAAACACAAACTTTAAACATTAAATAATGTAGGAAAAATCTTATTAATAACTTTATGCAGGGAATTTCCATAATATATATTCATTGGAATTAGCAAGACCTTATCAGTAAATCTTACTGAAAACAATAGCCGATGGACCCACAAAAAATGAGCAGCTTTTAGAAAATTCTGTTGTTCTTGCCTTATTATCGCTTAAAATGATGTTTGTTTTATGTCTTTATTACTTTGATTTTAAAACTAATTTGAGATTAATGTATACATACAATAGAAAGCAATAGAACTGCGAAAACCGAAACCGAAATCCTTTCAGCAGTGACACTCTCTGCAATAACTATGATAAAAAATGTATAGATTGTACCAAAAATTTTAAAGATAAATATGGGCAATTGTTTTTTCTGTCAGAATAACTTGTTTAAACATGAAAGGTTACTGAAATCTTAAATTTTACTCAGAATGACCCAATAGTTCGCTTTTACAAATAAAAACATTACCACCTACTCCCAAGAAAGGTTGTCCCCTCGATTGGTAACCAGTTTTTACACCACCTTCCCAGTTTTTCCTTGTTGAATCAATAATTCCGGCGAAAAGTTGCCTTCCATAATTTGCCACCCGCTCGAAGTCCTGGGTTCGTTGCACCCCCTGAAGAATTTCGGCACGCGTCATCCCGTGCGTTCCTGGTGTTTCGCGTAAATTACATTTACTTGCTGTTAGCAACTTGTATTTTCAAATAATACAACAGGTTCGGTCGAGCAACTCGCAAGCATTAACCCCTGACGAAGTTTGTTGTCAATGTTTCTTGATTTCACAACAGCCCGAAATTTTGATGGCTCAGTTGCACGGGAGTTGAATGCACGCGGATAGATTGTGATGGTGAAATAATGTTGGGCGAAGTACTACAAATACTACAGCTATTTTACTGCACCGAAAATTTGGAGGGTGTCCTTTGGGGTTCAAGGGCGATTTCACAAGATTAATTTGTCAAAGTAGCAGCTAAATTCCAAATTTATATTCGTCACATACTAAGACTTGCTGGAATAAGAGGAAGTTGGGCTAAAATGGGTTCGACTGACTCATTGCCAAAAGCGGAGGATGGTGTTGGCCTACACAAATTAGTCACTTGGGGACGTTTTATGTAATGGCAACCCAAATTGAATTACAGTGGTCACAGCGGAATTATAGGCCTTTCGAAGGCTATTATTAATTGAATTGCTTATCAGGTGAATGTCTGAAAGGTTAGTGATTTTTAGGGTATTTGATTTCCTTTCCGAAAGGTGAAACTTTCAATCACGTTTACTTATTAAGGAAAAGGTTTATTAAACTTTCGTTAGTTGGTTTAAATTTTAAATAGTTAATTGAAAGGAAGAGTTTCTAACCATACACTTTTCATAGAAGAAAAGACAACCTTTTTTCGTATAACTTTTGTTACATAATTTAGTAAGAATCTATCTTATTCATTTATTTTCTGTTTTTTTAAATATTTGCGTACATTTTTGTCCAATATAACACGTTCTCTAACTTCACTTCAACGAGGTTTTACTGTGGCTCCTGTAAATCCTTCAAATTTTGTCTGGGTCGTGTAATAATCGTAAATTGTGCAATCTTGTGGCGAGACATTCGGGCCAATGAACCGAGTGGCCTATGCCACCTAAGATGAAGTTCCCTCTTTCCCGAAATCAGAAAAGTTCTTTGCCTCGTCCTTGGTCTCTGAATGGGCAGAATATTGTGGTCAACATATGTATGTATGTATGTAGTTTCTGTTAAGCCAGCAAACCGATGGATTTTCCAACTGCCCACCATAATGCCCATACGTTCATATCTCGGATAGCAATTTCCACTTTCTTGCTTTCGCCTCTAAAAACGGAATCAAGTGTCTGGCACGTGCTGCACTGGCGATAAAAATAAAATGTGATAATTCGTCGTCTCACATGTGTCAAGTAAAACAATGCAAACAACTATTTTTATCGCCCCCATCCATACTTTACACATTCGTTTACACTTATTCCGGCATTCTCTTTCATTATCGTCTTTCCTAAAAGAGGAAAATAACTCGGTTTGCAGTGGGAAATTGATTAGTTTCAAGTATAGTTTGTATGTATATATATAATATACATATGTACATGTTTGTTTTGATTACAACGCTAATGAATGTTTTCTTTTTCGCAGTCAAACTGTACAGTGATGAGGCCGTCAGTCTGAATGATTTCAAAATTATACGTGTTCTTGGAACAGGTGGTAAGTACTAGATTTGTTGGCTTTTGTATTTTATTCAATTCAATTAATGACTATTTTTTAATATCATTCCCAAAGCTTATGGACGTGTTTTCCTCGTTCGCAAGCTGACAAGACACGATGCCGGAAAATTGTATGCAATGAAGGTTCTCAATAAGATAACGGTAGTCCAAAAGCGTAAAACCGCCGAGCACACTAAAACAGAGCGCGTGGTAAGTGGTGAATTCAAATATGTCCAGGGTTCAATAATAATATTGATTTATAATTTTTATTACCTATTTTATAAGTCTGGGAAAATTGAAAATATATGTTTTAATAAATATTAGTCGAGAATTTAGTTTAGACAAGTAATCTTATCGGATATTGTATGAAATACAAAGCGATTATCTTAAAGTTTTTACAACTTAACGTTATAATGCGGATAAGTAACCCAAAAAACACCGATTATAGTATAAAATATTTGATTACTTGCTCAAAAAAGTTGTACAACTAAAATGTGTGGCTAAATATTAAAAAAAAATCTAAATATGATTAGCTAAATCCCTAAATCCCTTTTGAGATATTTACAAATTTAAGATTTCTATTATGAGGAATTCGAATTGTTAAATGTTTTTCAAAAAGATTTTCAATACCCAGAGATAAGATATCAAAGTAAGTTCTGCAATTGCGACCTCCATTGTAGTCCCAAGAAACCCTTTTAATCATTTTACAACGAGCAGAACGACGACGAAGCAAACGTGTTTAATCAACTTTTTTTGGAAGCTCTTGCTTTTCGTTAACCGTTACCTTTTACCGCTGCGTGATGTTTTTGCAATCGCATCGCTTCCAGACTTCTTTTACTTTGGATTCCTCTTCGCTTTAATGACGACAATAAAGTGCAGCTTATTGAAATTAAACCCGTCGGGCGATTTGACAACCTTCAAAGTCGCACGTACAGTTTCCAGTGGCGAATCGGAGGAAGAGAAAAAGAAGAAGCCAGTAAACGGAAAAGCATAAGGACAGTGGGAGGACGGGGAGGGAGGGAGAGAAATGTTCTTGTGACCCACATAACGACTTGTTCTTGTTGCACCGGCAAAAGCTAACGGAGAGTGCAAAGAGAGGATACTTGTGTGCACTGCAAAATATTTTGTTTAACCTTCTCTGAAGTTGCGCAAATTTTTTATGAATACCAATGTCGAACTTAGCTTAATTTTGATATGTGAATAATATTACATCACTAAAAGGTCTTTATAAATAAATATGGTTTTAGTAGTTAAATTTGTTAAAATACTTGCATCTTATCAAGTGTATAATTATTAATCAGATTATTTATTGTGAAAGTATATTGTTAAAATTGCAGCTCAAGAAATCTTCAAATTTGTTCATATATGTAACTCTTAGTCAGGTGTTAGTCATATAATCCGCCGTCTAGTCATCATCAAATTGATTATAATTTCTTATCATTTTTTCTTGTGTAGGGAACCGGGAGAGCTGGAGGAGAGAGCTTCCTGCTCAGATCAATAGTGGAAGTTGTTGTTGCAGCTGCCTAGTGCAACCGGTTTTTTCGGTTTTGCTTTTTCTCTCTTCGGCAAAGACTCTCTCGTAGTAAATCAATGAAAATAGAAATGGAAAAGGGAAAAACAACAAAATGCGTTAAATAACTGCAAACAGGTGTAGGCGCAATAACGGCAGATAACTTAAACAAATTTACAATTGGGCGCCCTGCTTTGAAGTTGTTTTCATGCTCTATTTTCGTGTCTCTCTGTTACCCTTATATCCTCCTCCTCCACCGCCTACTTTACTTTTTCAAGGTACTATACCTGTGCTACTAACCCAGTTATCAAACATCGCCGGCTATCTGTGATTCGACAAGTCTATATTTCGCCCCGCGGTGGCCAAAATAGAAAGGAATAAACAGAGCCGGTCACAAAAATGTCTCATATCTAAAATAATAAATTTTCGTAAATAATACTGTTTGCAGTTAAACATATTTTCAATTTTTTTTAACGTAAATTTTTTGAATTTTTTGTTTTTCCAGAATTTGGCGTAAACAATCGCTTAGTCTTATAAACTTTCTTTTATTTACTTCTTCTGTGACCTTTGAACATTTCAAAACTATTTTTAAAATAACTTTTTAATGTTTAAAAAAGTATAGATTTATAGAAATAATAATCTTCTTAAAACGTCCTTTATCTTATTGATGCCACAAAACAAATAATTTTTTTTTTATTATTATGTTATTATTCTGACCCCAACTGTTAATGTAAACGAACAAGAAATGTGAAAGTTTTTATCTGAAAGAAAAGACCGAAAGACGAATTCATTCCATTAATTCATTTTCAAAGTACCTGATTTCACTTTTCCTCTTGCATGTTTTTTCTTTCCGTCATTCTTCCGTGGAACATCAATTATAAACGGAAGAAACAACAACTAATTGGCGAACCCATACTTATATGTACCTCTTTACATATGTATGTATATAGATTCAAGCCGTATTTGCGTAAATAAAGCTCAAAACGAAATAAAAAAAAACACGAAGATTTGTGATAAGCGTGTGAGCGAAATTAGCGCCAAGGAAGAGGGGCTGAAAGTATCGATAAGACCGATTACAGTGGATGTGGATAACACAAATTTGCTATAAACACCTTCTGATAAATACAGGGCAAAAAAGAAAAGTCAAATGTAAATACAGTAGGATAAACAGTGGGATATAATATTTAATTTTGCATTTGGGGATGTAGCTATGTATGTAGGTAACCTAAAAATGGTATTAAAATTGACACTATGATTAACTCTTAAAGATATTTAAATACTACATGAAATTTAAACAGAGTTGTTTACTTGGTTTCAGGTACTGGAGGCCGTTCAGCGTAGTCCCTTCCTTGTGAGCCTCCACTACGCGTTTCAATCATCCTCAAAGCTTTATCTGGTGCTAGGTGAGATTCAATTAATTAACTGAATAAAACGGAACAAAACCAATTAAACCTCCTGCATTTTCAGACTTTGCCAATGGCGGAGAGCTCTTTACGCATCTCTACCATGCGGAGCACTTTGAGGAGTCCCGTGTGCGGGTGTACATAGCCGAGGTGGTGCTGGCTCTTGAGCAACTGCATCAGCTGGGTATCATTTATCGTGATATCAAGTTGGAGAACATTCTGCTCGATGGCGAGGGACACATTGTACTCTCTGACTTTGGACTGTCGAAGATTCTCACTGCTGAGAATGAGTATCGGGCGCACAGCTTTTGCGGTACCCTGGAGTACATGGCGCCGGAGATCATCCGGACGGGGCCGCCGGGACACGACAGTGCCGTGGACTGGTGGTCGGTGGGAGTCCTCACCTTTGAACTGCTCACCGGCGCATCGCCATTCGCCACGTCCGACGGACAGAGCCAGCAGTCGGAGATCTCGCGAAGGATCCAGAAGGAGCAGCCACTGATTCCCTCATCGTTCAGCGCCAACGCCCGAGACTTTGTGTTGAAGATGCTGGAGAAGAACCCGAAGCGACGGCTGGGGGGTAATCATCGCGATGCCAGCGAAATCAAGGAGCACCCCTTCTTTCACGGCATCAACTGGCAGGAGTTGCGCAACAAGCGCCGCAAGGCCCCCTACAAGCCCACCCTCACCGCCGAGGACGATGTGCAGAACTTCAGCGCCGAGTTCACCGACCAGGTGCCCGAGGATCCCGAGTGCGATTCCCCGCCCAGCCGGATCCGACTCTTCCGCGGCTACACGTATGTGGCGCCGGAGCATTTGGAGCAGATGCGACGGGATAATCATTGTCAGATCCAGTACTGTAATTCAGGTCTTCAGGTGGGTTTCTTTTGCAGTACTATCTAGTGGCCCTGACTAATGGCTTGCTCCTGAAATTGCAGAATATACCCTCACGACCGGATGACCTCGACTTGGGCACCCTAAAGGAGAGTGGGGCTTATGGTGTTTGCCACTTTGTGGTGGACAGCTCTTCGGAGATGGTGTTTATGGCCAAGGTGATACCGCTGTCCAAGTTTCGCCTCTCCGAGGTGGACGCCCTGATCTCGTGCGCCCTGGATACGAACAGCCACAAGAACATCGTCAGCTACCATGGAACTTTCAGGGACAAATGCGAGACGTGGATCATCACGGAGGTCCTGTGCGGCAAAGAGCTGACCGAATGCATCGGCATGGATGAGGAGTCGTGTCGAGAGATCTTCCTGCAGCTGGTTATGGCCGTTCGGCACATACACTCCAAGCACTTTATACACGGTGACCTGAAGCCCGAGAACGTAATGTTCGTGAGCCGGGAGGATAAGGCCATCAAACTGGTGGACTTTGGCAATGCCTGGTAAGTTAATTGACTTTAATCGCCGTCTTCCATAACTCACCTGATTCTTATTATCCCCCAATAGTTACAATAGTAATTTCCAGAGCTGGAAAGACAAGCCGCGCTACACGCTGGACTATGCTCCGCCGGAAATGCTTGCGGACGCGAATCTCGTCACTTATTCGCCAGCAGTGGATATCTACGGTCTTGGGGCAACGCTGTATACTTTGCTGGTGGGTCATCAGCCGTACAGGCAAAACGTGGACGATGTGGCCCACTCCGCCGCTGCTCATCACGAGCTGCGCAAGCGGATGCGGCGGGAGACTTTTAACCAGCGCTCAAAGCGCTGGCTGAATGCAGGTCCTGCGTTCCGGCATCTGGTCAGCTGGTGTTTGCAGCGAGATCCGGTCGATAGGCCCACATTGGTAGAAATTCTCAACAGCGAGTGGCTGCAGTATGGAACCAACGATCCGGACGTAGACATAATTTTGCCACCAGAGCAGCAGGTGGTTGTGGACCTCAGCGAGGACACTATGGAACATCCGACGTCAGGTATGTCAGACGAGCAGAAACATCTGGAATCCAGATTCGACAAGACGGCGGAGGACGAGGGCGTAATAGTTGTCAGCGAGTTCCTGGATGCTCCTGTGCCGTTCAGCGAACCTAGGACGAACGCAGCCATTTCAACTGCGGCAGTTGCTCCTTCCGACGACGAAGACCTGGTGGTGCATGAACGATTTGAACCGGCCTTCGAGGTCCAGACGGACTTCTACGGCTTCGACGAAGATGCGCCGCCGCTGCAACTTCCCGCGGAGTACTATGTCGAACTACCTCTGCCGCAGGATGATCATATGCACATGCCACCACCTCCAGCTCCGGCACCATTTCCAATTGAATTGGAAGCGACCAACCGACGGCCCAGAACCCGACAGCAGCGTCGCACTGAGAGCCAGCTGTTACAACCTACTCCGGCAGAGGACAGCAAGGCCTCCCTGCGCCTGTTGATGCAACAGCTCCCGCCACCAGCAGACATTATCGTGGCACGCATCCCCAAGAGAACTCAGCGAGTCGTTCGCACATTGCCTCCGTCGTTCGGAACCACAAGGCGAGAGGAAAATTTCCATGGATTCAGCAAGACGGCAAACACGTGGCGTAAGACGCGGGCCAGCTGGCGGCACTTCTGTCTGCTCATCAACGGTGTGCAGCAGGTGCTCAAGATACGGTTCAAGAAAACGCGGCGCGTCTACTGCTTGCCCAACATCAAGTTGGAAAAAATGGACCATGCGTACGAGAAGCCGCTAACGTTTCCACGGCCCAAGGCGCAACTGAAGCGCGCCAAGAGAGAGCCTAAGGTGCCGCGGCCACCGACGCGGGTACAGCCGGAGAGGGCGCGGGCGCTGCGGCAACAATATCTGTTCCAATGACATGAGGATGACGACGACGTCCTGGAGGTGATTGAAATCAAACACGAGCCACTGGACGATGGGGAGGAGCAACTGCCAGCGGTGCTGCAGTGGGAGGGCGGCTTCAGGCGGACACGGATGTACAGCTGACGACAGACATTGACCGATTGGCCCCCCCAGGACGACGACGACGACCAGAACCCGGCCAAAACAGTGGGCGGAGACCCCTTGGGGCTCCATACCCAGTAACACACCCACTAACCACCCTCACTAACAATCGAGAGTACGAGTGGAAGGATCCGCAAGACGCACCAAAGATCCTGTCAATAATTATTTTCAAGTTTGTTATGCATTAGCCTAAGTTCAGAACTCATTTTGCTTATTTCTTTTTCAACCACTGAAAATCAACTTAAAATTATAAAAGGAGGGTATACCGCAACGTCCTTATAAGTGTATTCTATATGCAATTTGTTGTGCTAGTTAATTATTTGAATAGCCTAAATGTAAAAAGTCAGACACAAAAACGGAATACAAAACTATACCAATGCAACTTTTTGCATTGATCTTAGAGCGGTTAAGACACAATAACAAAAATATCGACAACAGAACACAATCACTAAAATCATTAATACGATTTGCAATTAGTTTAGTGCAAAACTATGTTTAAGCCAAATAGTGAGAAAGATATAAAGATAGCCCCAATACACAAAAATTTGATTTAAGTTGTGCTTTATGTTAAGTTGTATTTTTTATTCCTAACGCAGCGTGGAGAATGCTATCCATTTAACTCAAAATCCTGATCCTGCCTAGCATGTATTGCCCACCGCAGTCGGCATTAGCTAACCCACTTAATTCCGATTGCGCTGGGCAATGTTTCCTAATTGCATTAAAATCATTTTAGTTGAAACTAAACGGAAAAAGAAGCTACGCCCGAAGAGCCATTTCCACATGAAACTGCGAAGTTCTTCTTCGAGGCCAAGCCGAAAACAATGCGTTTTTTGCGAACGAATCTGATCAAGAAACGTTAATAGTCGTAGAGTTGTTAATGGCAAACCAACTCTTAATTGTTTTGTTAAGTATTTTTTGATTGTTTATTTTAATTAATTTAATTTGCCGCAAAACTTGTAACTAAGTAAGTTAAAGCAATGGAAATCGATGAAATCTAAATAAAATTTAAAGAATTACATTAATGTAAACTCGCTTGATTTTTATACTTTTATTGTGTTGTATTATTTTCATTTTTTTAACACACACATTATCCAAAACCTAACCACATATCGAAATGTGTAAATTGCCGATGAGTCGATAAAAATGGATGTTACAAATCATGGTGTAAATTTTAGTATAAAAAATAACATTTATATTAAAGTTGCCTTTTAACAAGTTGCCTTAGAACACACAAACAAATGTAAAACCCAAAACAACTCCAAGAAGTCGCAATACGAAAAGTTAAACAAACCCTACATTTTATAAGCAAAACGGTAGACAGAATAAGAAGCTATTTGACATGAGTTTTTATAGGCGCGACAATTGGCAATTTGTCGTAGTTTAAGATCACTGGAACTATTGTAGACCACAGACTCTGCCCCATCCACCCACAGAGGACGAAACAACCAATAAGCAAAAACCAATGGGGGACAACTAGTTGAATATAAGTAAAAAGCAATCAAATCGTATTGAACTCGATTTTTACAGTTCGGCCAAAGCGTTATATGGATTACAGATTACGGATAGTTTTGTTAACCAAAAAACCGAACGTTTGTTTGGCTTTGGAGATCAGTTAAGGTACACAGATGAATTTGAAACAAGTTGCTAGCTATTAAGTCACCAAAGTCTGTACATAAAACCAATATCAAAATGCAGTTAAAATAAAGCATTTCAAATGATAACTTATCAGAAAGTGAATTTATTCTTGCTATTGTGTATTTACACATGTAACCAATTAATAAGGGGTAGGGTTTGATAATCGTGTGCCGTTTAGTGTTTCCGTTTCTTTCCCGCTTTCTGTGGTTTGCCACCCTTGGCCGCTGGCTTACCGGCAAACTTCTTGCCCTTATAGGTTTTCGTGTTCGATCTCCGGTTCTCTTCCCACTTCAATTGCTTGTCGGAGGATTTGTCCTTGTTGAAGACGGCATTGCTGGTTCCCTGACCCTTAGCCTTGGCCGTTTCCTCCAGCAACGAAGAGAAGTCATCGGCGGCAGCAAACAGAGAGGACATGTCTGAAGGGTTTTAGGAAATAAATAACAATACATGTTTAAAAATGAAATATTTAATTGGTAACTTACCATGACTTTGTTTGAGAGTTTTGGCAAAGCTGCGTCCTCCCACCATGTCGGTTTCTTTCCTGGATTTCTTGGACCTGGGCGGTGCATCTTCGTCATCATCATCGTCCTCGTCTGGGCTTTCAGGAGCATCGCTTGAATCACTGTCGTCGGGGCCGCCCTCGGAAATTGATCCCTCATCATCATCATCATCGTCATCCAGTGGTTCCAAATCAATCGAGCCCGTTTCATCATCAGACTGATCTTCACCAGCGCCCTCCATTTCGTCGTCTTCATCTTCTCCTAGGTCATCGTCGTCCCAGTCGTCATCTATATCTTCCACATCCTCTTCCGCATCGTCAGACTGCTTCTTCTTTTTCTTGTCCTTGGACTTGTCCTTCTTCATCTCGCCGCCTAGCTCCTGCAAGAAGTTCAGCTCCCCTTCATCCTGCTCTTCGTCGACGCCTTCCTTGAACTTTTTGCCGAAGTACCCATCTAAATAGGCCTCGAACTCATCGTCGTCTACTTCGCCTTCCTTCAGATATTCCTCTCCAGCCTCGCCATCCTCTCCACCGTTTTCGTCATCCTTCTTGACCTCCTTTCGCTTTTTGTTTTGAGCCACAATTTCCGCCTGTCGACGCTTGTGCTCCAAGAAGTTGAAGATGAACATCTCATCCTCGGTGCAGTTGGCCTTGGTCAGCGATTTAACTGGCCTTCCACGTGCACCGTGAGCCGTATAGCGTTTGTGGGCCACGGTGGCGCTTTCCGCCGCCTGTGGAGCATCCAGTTTTTTCGGATTCTTAAAAGCGAAACGTTCCAAAAAGTGAGGCAGTGCGAAATCCCTTAGCGGATCGCCATAGTAATCAATTCGGGATTCTAAGGTAATGAAACTGAGTTTAATAATGATTTAAAACGATCGTGGCAATACTCACGCTGTAGGATCTGCTCGGCGAAGACCTGGACAGTGGGATGGTAGTGCTGGCGCAGCAGCAATAGTTCGTGACGAAGCGCATAGCCAGCTCCAGCAAAAGCGGGCACCCGGTGGTAAGGATCGTACTTGCAGGAATCGATGTTTCGCACCTTGGATTCCGTGGCAGCCACACTGGCATGGTGCCAAGAGGAGGCACTTGACTTTGCACCTTCTTCTGCTTTCTCCTCCGCTGGCTTTGAGTCTTTAACCTCCGCAGCCTCCTCTTTAACATCCTTATAGACCTCCTCCTCATCGCTGCCGAACTTGTCCAGATCCGCATCGACCGGCAGGATTACTTTGGAACTTTCTTCCACTTCCTCTGAAGCTCCAGTGCCGCCGATGAGCTCACGGCGCATGCGCAGCAACTTGTGGATGACGATCAAGCAACCAGCTGCAATGTGGGGTGGGGCATAGAGGGTAAGCTGCAGCAGCCGCTTGACAAATGCCTGGGCCCGGGCGACATGGTTATCGATGTGGATGGCGCGATGGACTATATGCAGTAGATGAGCCGCCGTTTTACTGCCCACGTTAATGAGGTTCAAATCCAGCAGCTTCACATACAGAGCATTATAGAACCGATCGGATTTCTCGGTTTTAACCGTAACCAGTTGCAGCAACAATCCCAGAGTCTGTACAGCGACCCTAATGTCGGCCAAGTGAACTAACCGGTAGATGGTGTCCTGCATTTCCTTGGAGAGTAGCTCACCGTTGCTGTCCTTGGCGGGCTGAGCCTCCACAATGGCCTTTTGCAGACACCGCAGGATTGCTTGCATGGTCCTATTATTCACGGCTCCCTTTTGAACGAGAACCTTGAAGAGGGCGAAGCATATGTTGACCAACTTGGTGCAGACTTCGGGCCGGCCGGAGGGTGCGATGCTGGAGAGGAAGCACAATGCGAAGTGCTGGGCCCGCTCGGAAATGTTGTTACGGAAAAGTAGTTTCTCCGCCTCGGAAACGATGACGCCGCACATGTTGGGATGTTTTTGGGCCACATCGCTGAGATGGTGCAACGCTTTGGAAGCAATCTTAGCGATGGGATCGCCCAGCTTGTTCACTAACATGGTCAGCAGCAGCTGCTCCTTTTCGGGAGCATAGGCCAACAACCTGGCGGCGGTCACAATAGACGAGTTCTTGTTGTGTTCCTGTCCAGTCTGCAAGCCCTGCATCACGTTCTTGAGGAACTCATGATACTGGTCCTTCAATTCGCTCTCAAAGTGCCAGTAAGCGTAGATGCGTCGCTTCTGCTCGTTACGCAGCGTCTCATCCTTCTTCAGCTTCTTCCAATCGGCTCCACGGGTGTGCACCGCCAGGAGTTTTCTGTTGGGCGGCAGAAGTACCTCCTGCCACAGATCCGTGAGGACTGCAACCACATCGTTGCTGGCCTTGTTGGAAATCTTGCAAAAGCCAATCAAAGTGGTCAGTGCCTCGAGGTTGCCAAGGGGATTACTCGTCACCAGCAGGGCGCCGGCATTGGCTCGATCCTTTGCTGTACCCTTGTGCAGAGCAGTTTGCAGCCAGCGGGCATCCGAAGGATTGCCTAAAGTATAAGAAAATATTTTTAAAATAGGTAAAAGCTCAAGAACCAATCCGTTTCACTATACACTTAGGAAACCCTAGTTTAACCTACGCTTATTAAATGTTGTCTTCTCCGACTCGAATGAACTCTTGCAGAGATTGTAAAGCTCCAGCTGTTCGTTCTCCTTCATGTCCAACACCTCATCGGTAGATGGATAGTCGGGGTGCTAGAATACAGCAATTGCAACCATATAATACCATTGTAAATTCGATTTTTAATAAAATCTTACCACATGATACCACTTCTTTTGCGACTCTTCATCTTCATCTAGTTTTGACTGATATTTGTTGTGCTTTTTGGAAAAAGATTTTTCCTCTTCATCACTATCTCCATCGCTATCGGAGACTGTTTTACCAGCTCCATCGTCGTCGAACTTTATGCGTTGGGGTTTTTTGGAGTTTTCCGAAGTGGACTCTCCATCATCTCCAAACTTGATTTTGTGGGATTTCTTGTCTGAATCTTGCTTTTTAGTTAAGGAATTCTCAGATACTTCTTCTCCATCATCCTCGAACTTGATCTTTTGGGGTTTCTTGTATGCTTCGGGTTTTTTGTTCAACGAATTTTCAGATACTTCTCCATTATCAGCGAACTTTATTTTTTTTGGTTTATTGGCTAAGTCCGACTTTTGACCATTATGTTTTTGGTGGATTTTGTTGAACGGTTTTTGAGATACAGCTTCTCCGTCGTCGCCAAACTTTATTTTCTGTGGCTTTGGACCATGTTGATGATTTTTGTCAAACGATTTGGGAGCTACTTGACCACCATTATCGCCGAACTTTTTCTTGTGAGGATTATTTCCATGATCAGGTTTATGACCATTATGTTTTTGATGGTTTTTATTGAAGGCTTTACCACCATGAGCTGGTCCTTCCTTTCCAAAACTGATTTTCTGTGGTCTTTTCACCTGTTCCTTTCCTTGAAACTTTGGCTTCTGTGGGTGCACCTTTTTGTTTTGTTTAATGACAGCCTCGCCGGAGTCGTCAAAGACGATCTTCTTGTTCTTTGACGGTGCCCCAAATTGCACACCTGTGGCCACTGCTGCCGGCATGTTTTTATTAAGCTATTTGTTAAATAAAAAGCATTAATTAAGTAAACTCCGTTAGAAACAACTTGCACGTGTATTCAAATTTGGCAATCACCGCGAAGCGTCAGCAACATATGGTTTCCCGCCTATCGGTTGAATTTACTGTGAATAGTGTACATAGTAGGTGACGAATTGCATTCCAATTATTTTTACAATTCAATTTATACCTGATATTTGAAAAAAGTATAAAAATGTAAGTGAATCAGAAAATACGTTAATAAATAAAAGTATAAATATAATTTTTATATTCAATACTTATTTTTGTACAAGGCAATACTTCGAAAACTTAATACTGTCATGTTAAA